TTTTCTTTGTGGGGGTCTGCCCCCAAAAAACAGTTTTAAGTCCTGAGAAAGTCAAATAAGACGGTAAGGGCTTTCCACTGGATAACAACTGCAGAGATGTATTATGTTTTAGCTGAATACACATTTTTTTAACCCTAATTGATGCAGTTAGTCACTTCTTTAATGTTTGTTTTTTCTGATGTAAAGTCAAGGTTGTAACTGTTTGCAATAAAGTCGTGGGGCGCTGAACTGTTCCTTTGAATCTTTTGAATTTTGATATATGATAGTATAATTACTTCAAATTTGAAGGAGGGTGAGCAAGCATCTTGAGGAACGTTCATCATTAACTCCTCCAAAAAATATAGTTTATTCAATAATAAATGAATATGTGAATCATAACAGTGATTGACAGCTGATAGGAATAATATTGTTAATATTATCAAATTCATTCAGACAAACATCGATGAGACAGTTAATTAATGTACTTATTGCAGCAGTCTGCATAGATTTGGTACCGCTGCTGGTCTAAGAGTGAAACAAACTCATTCAGTTACAATTCATTAAATTATGTCTGCCACCTTATATATTTCTATTTAAGGCTTTAATGATGTGCCACAATAATGTCACCTAATGTTATTGAGTTAAAATATTAATATTGTGGCTTTCCAAGTTAACATTGATTGATATGACTGCGATTAAATCAGCATATACTTCTGCCAGGGGATGCCACCCCTCAAAATCTCCTGCCACCCTCTTGCCACCCCATGAATATTTGTCTAGATCCGCCCCTGTACACAAAAGAGATGTTGGTATGGATCTGGGCATTAAGAGGTTCTTCAAATGTTTGATAAACTTAAGTTAAGAAGTTAAAATGTCTAAACAAACTGTACCGTTGCATGTTGGAAAACTGTCTTCTCTCTTAGAGCAGACAAAACATGCGCTAATGGCAATTGCTAATTGCAGCACGGCACATTTGTCTTAATCACTAGCTAACACTGTTAGCAAAGACTGACATTTATTGAATGAGTTCTGTTTGGGATGCCAGCTGAATGATGTTCACTTTGTTGTTATTAGGTTGCCCAATCATCAGCCACAGACACTGTAGCCCTTATGAAAGCACATTACATTAGCTAACTTAGCAAAGCAGTGTTAGCTTACGCTGCTTGTAAGTAAGGCGTCTACTTAGGCAGCAGCGAACTGCACAGGCTCTTCCTCGAACTCCAAGACAAAGTTTACAAAAGTTACTTAAAAAATAAAGGTTAAAGTACAAAATTGTATACTTCTCATGTCAACTTGCATTGAAATGGGCGCATATTGTAGATGCTAATGTTGTACTGCAAAATAGTACTTCCAGTAGAATTGCTCCCTGGATTCTTGTATAAAAAGAGAAAAAAAACTATAGGCTACATGAGTTAATACAACCACTGGTATTTTTTGATTTTTACATTGCTCTTGGTGTAGAGAAACTTTGGGATTTCCGACTGGCTGATAAGCTCGACAGACAAGCAGTATCTCAGAGAAGGTAGCGTGTAAGGTGCGGCCCATGCTCCCCTGCCAGCAGAAGATGAAGGCTCTCGCCCCCAAAGGAGTGCCTGTCCCCTGGGCCTGGTTCACAGGCGAACAGGCGGCAGATCAAAGGCCTCACATCATATCCACCCTCTGATCGGGAAAACAAGCCAGATGCAGTTCTTATTACACAAACGCCTGATATCTGTAAACAAATTACATTCATAAAGTATATTTGAATGTTGCTTGTAAAGATGAATGCCTTTAAAGCAAGTTTGGTGGAATATGACATGTTTGTTGCAGTCAAAATATCTGTTCAAAAGCCAAAAAATAACATTGAATTCTACTTACAAGTAATGTATATGAAGCCAAAACCTTATGTGTCTTTTCAGTTAGATACACTGTTGAACTGGGTGCCTTTCCCTTCATAACCATGAATGTGGGAACAGAAATGTAATTAGAATGTAGAAAAGCTCTCTAAAGCAGCAATTGGCAATATCCCACGGGAAATAGTAATGAATAAATGCAATTTTTACTTTTTTTTTGTTACGTTTCTACAAACTGGAAAATCTTAATATGTCAAAAGTAAACACTTGTGGAGAATGAGGGATGAACCATGCATTTGTTGATGATCAGACACATCTAGAATAGGCAAACCGTATTCTGTAATCCTAACCTGATACTAATTAAGAACAACATCAAAAAACACACACATGGAAAATTGTTCCACAAAACAAAACACCACTTTGAAAAGTACATGTGGTGTTTTTGGTTTCATACAATACATTTCTAATGTGGCCATTTGAAATAACATAATTATTGGGGTCTTTTGATTGAAAAAAGGAATGTATTAAAAACACCACATTTACATTCTTTATTTCTTTCTTTCCAGAGTACAACATCTCGGCTGCAGCCATCTCCATCTTCAGTCTAGCCTTCATGATCTTTGGCTCTCTGTGTCTGATGGGATCATGTACCGGCAAAGGCAAAGGAAGAGACTACCTCCTTAAACCTGCTGGCATGTTTTATGCATTTGCAGGTGGGCTCAGGAAAACAACATCACTTCAATTTATCTTGCAGCATTTTTGAGAGCTAACTAATTTAACATTTCCTTCATTACCAGGTCTCTGTTGCTTCATCTCACTGGAGGTGATGCGTCAATCAGTGAAACGCATGATTGAGAGCGAGGAAACAATCTGGATCGAATACTACTACTCCTGGTCATTCGCGTGTGCCTGTACTGGATTTGTCCTCCTCTTTCTCACTGGCTTTGCCCTCCTGCTTCTCTCCATGCCGCAGATGCCTAGGAATCCATGGGAGACTTGCATGGACGCCGAGCAGGACCAAGTGGAGTGATGACGGACAGATGATTACAGGATTTGAGGAGAGTGACTGTGTCTATTGTTTTGAGTACATATTCAAGGATAGGTTCAATTCAAGAACAGGCCATAAAATGGTAACGTCATGATGACAGAAACTGGTTTGGGGTGTGGATGGACCATAGTAATGAAGAGAAATTTACCTCACTACAATTATAAAGCAACTTGAATATGGGGCGTTTTCGGAGTTATGAATGTCCGCCTTGTCATGCATGTCCAACTAGAGCGTAAAATATAGCAATCCACTTTGGTGGGGTTCATGTTGGAGATCACAACTTAAATCTGACATGAAGCCTCAAAACCACCATACTTCTCAAAAAGAGCCAACCTGGTCTAAACGGCACTTTTGCCTTTTACTGCTGGTATATTTAAACAAATATCTTGAAAAGGCAAACAATTAGTAAAGTCACTGTTTTGTAAGATGGTTTTAACATCATTATGCCCTGACTTAGTTAAAAAGTCGTAAATATAATTAGATTCATTGACATTTTAAGAATATAGTTCATACAGTTAAGACCAGACAACTACATATGTAATATGATGTAGTGCACTTTGTATGATATTTTGTAGATATCTAATGTTCATCTGTTGATTTTTCAATGGGATCGCTCAAGGAATCAATGACTTACTAGAAGTATCAACAAAATGTGTTAGGTTGAGATGTATGTTTCCAAACGTTACAATTTTATATTTCTAAGATTTGAAAATTAAAGAAAGTCCCATTAAAATAAGAACTTTGTGAATAAACGACTGATTTCAGGCGAGGCAGATGCACAGAGCAGGTTTGTGTGTGTGGTAGGCTGAATGCTAAACACCCACACACTCCGTGTTGGACAAGCTTCAGCTCTAGCAGGTGCACATATAATGCCTTTTACTTTTTTTGTTGACAGCTTACAAACCAAACTGATACAAAAAATGCTCTGTTCTGTACATGCGTCATCATGACCCAATTGAAACACATTGGTATTTGCATCGGTTCAACAACCTTTTCTCTGTGTGAAAGAAGTGTATGGAGATCATAAAATCTGACACAGGCTCATGCTCTGTATTTGTGCTGTGAGTCAGTTTTGTTTCAGAATGGATTTTCACTAGCCAGCCAATTCAAAACACAAATGTACAAACTTTTTACAAAGCAAGCAAACATTTTTTTTCATCGACATTACCTACTGTATAACATAGCTGCTGCCCTGCATATAAAGGAGAGCAGTTTATTTATGTGAAAAGCCTGCAGCTATTGGTGAGAGCAATGTCATAGGCTTGTTTAGTGCAAGTCTATTTAATTAGTTAGTTGTATTTATTTTGACTGAGTTGTAAGATTCATTTCACAGAATGGAAAAGTGAAATAAATAACAAAAAAATAGAATACCTATTGTAATGGTAATTGTTGAAATTAATTTCTATGTTTTTTCTGAATATTGAATGTTTTTGAATGCAGCATATTCTGTGTGTGTTTCTTATGGGCTATTTCTTTGTAACCAAAAATAAATCTTAATTAGCTTTGGAAACTTTGTTTCTGAAATCCCTTTTTTTTGTTTCCTTTGCTTTCATGTACCAAACAATGGGGTGAGATTGTTGATGCCAAGTGTGTGTGTTGTTTCGGCTGTACAGAGACTACATTTGTCCGACATGATGCACCTGGCTGGTGATGATCAGCATCACATTTCTTCTCTCACTCCGTCACTGTCTTGCAAATGTTCTTTTTATTGGTTCCTTTTAAACGACTACACATTCATACAGCTACGTGAAAACACTGCACACTATTTCATACATTTAGTTAAATGTGGTTCTGTCATCAATGTGATCTCCCTAGAACAACTGTCAGTAAACTTCCCTTCATTAGTCATGGGGCCAGGTCGAGACAAAAAGGAGAGCAGCTGCTGACACTAACTTGTAACTATGTAGATGGTTTTAAGTGTTAAATCCAGAGTATATCCACACAGGAACATTAAGTGGCTCTGCAGAGGAAACACATTCTTGTCTTTCTTTCTTTCTGCAAGGGCTGATATCCAAGCCTTTAGTCCTAAAGGCAACAACAGATGCACCTTCAAACTATGGCAAACCCCCGAATAATTCCTGTATTCTATATCACTGCTGGTTAATGCAGAGGATGATACAAAAACAAAAGGCAGAACTCTAGAAGTTTCAATAAAAACACTTTAATAGAGAAACAAATAAAAAAAGAAAATAAACCTTTGAAACACAGTCTAAATCCTTGATTATAACCACCACCAATTGAAATGAAGAAGAGTAAAACAGATCTATTCATTATTTTTGTACCCACGAGGGAGGAACCAATGGGAATGGGAGGCTGGGAGAACAGGTGAGCCATTGATTCACTGCAGCGAGGGAGGGAGGGAGGAACAGAGGAGAGCCAACAGAGAACGGGAAGAGATGTGGCGTTTATAGAAGGCTTAACACAGTGCTCTCTACTGGCTGGGCAAAAGGTTGCTCCCTCTCCATGTGCCACACAAACTGGTTTGTTTTCTTTAAAAAGGCAACACTGATTTTTTTTTAAAGACAATAATTCATATAATGAAACATGGTTCAATATTGCAAGGTGAAAACATTTTAAAATCCAACTTAAAGACCTTTAGTTTCACAGTAAAGATCATGGCAAACTCATTTTTGGAACAAAGTCTTAAAACAAATCAGCATTGATGACAAGTTGTAAATAACATCTGTTAAAAATGTCTTTGGCTCAATCTCTTCTGCTTCAAAATAAATAAAAATGAAGAAGCGGTGAAATATTAGTATTGCACAACTTCAGAGATTAGCCATTTGCCAAACAAACTAAGTTTTGTAAATATGACACAGCAGGGAGCAACCTGAGCTTCAGCCCTGCTAAGTAACTGCAGAAAAAAAGGACTTAAATGACCATTACATATTTGATTGACATGTTAGTAAAATATTATAATAGTTTTGTTGATAATGTCACAAGTTATTGTACACATCAAATAATATACCAAAATTTGACTCTGAAGGTTGAACATATAAGCTTTTTTTTTTTTTTTTTTTTTTTTAAACTTTTTAATTCATTCACAAATCAATACAAACTGATAAAAACAGGGATAAAACCAGCCAGGTCATCTCAACATGCATGAAAAGAAAAAAAACGTCTTCACATTAACAAAAATAAATCAATCCATGTTGATTGTTGTATAGTTGTGAGAAAACAATACAGGACAAATCCAGCAACATATACTTTCCAATATGTATTGTACAGTGAAATAAGTCGTCTGAAAACAGAAACTCTCCTCTTTGTCAAATCAGCCAGACACCATCTTATCAAAACAATCTAAAAAGTTACAAGATGTTGCAACTATCCACTGGGTTATTGTTGTCGTTCATTATTCCTAGGATTATTCTTTTTTGTTTTGCATAATTAAAAAGGGCATACCTCTTCTTTGAACAGCTTCTACAAAATTGAGGCGCTCCCAAAGTTTGTTTGTAAATACCTACAAAATGCATATTTACAAGTATGTGTTGTTTTCCGCCAAGTCAAAAGATCTGAGCCTTTGAATGACAATGTGAAAACTTAAAAACGTACGAATAAGAACATGAAGCTCTCCGCTGAGTGTTAAAAACACATCTATGTAAATCGCTGTAGCTTACTGTAGCTTACTGAGGAACGCTTTAAGAGACAGAACAGTGACTCGCTGCCGTATGAAAGCCACCAAACAGCAGGATGCTTTTAGTACAACTTTATCGATTTGCAAATGGGGCAGTGGTATTTTAACAATTCAAATGAAATACAGAACAGAATTGAGTACTGGATGACTGCTTCCAGCATTGCGTTTATTATTAAAGAAACACCTTGGCAGATATAGTTCAATTTCTTTTTAGATTTGGGACTCTATGAACGCAGTAAGATCCCTTTGCATGCAAGCTGTGAGGCCGAGTAAAATTAATGTGTCATGTTCATGTTTTTTGGTGAGAGATAAAAAGGTAATTTGAACGTCGCAAATGTAAAGTATATCTAGAGCCATTTCATTTTGATTTGAAGTGAATGAGATTATTCAATCTGTTCTAATATTAATATATCAATGGGACTGAAAAGGTGAATAATGTAATTATCTGAATAACCAAGAAACAACGAATAAGACGTTACCGATTCATTCGCATCACGCACAGTCCTAAAAACAGGCACAAGTCTTTGAACAGCTTGTAGTATAGTGACTTTTACTTTGTTACCTTTTTGGTTAAATCTCAAGCAGACTGTTGGAAAGGATGATGGGAAAACGTTTTCCATCGAACGATCTACAATTCCCCAAATATGGTAAGGATGTTTATTGACAATGATCAATGTTTTTGGTAGAACTTGGAGCACATATTGGCTAATGGATGAGATGCATGTGTATTATGTATATGACAAAGAGATTTAAAGATTGTCTTAAAGAAAATAGAGACTTTGGTCTTTGGGAAATCTCTTACAATGTGAAAGGGATTCAAGAAACTGGGAAATATATGGCTACAAAACATCTACGAGACCTACACTGAGCATATTACAGCAGCAGTGATCCGAGTGCTGTTTGTTATTGTGACAAAGATCCAGTATTGTTCTGAGAAAACAATGAATTAATTACTGAAGATAATTAATGTGTATTTTTAAATGTCGGGGTATTTTCTATGTCTCTACAGTCTCAATATACTTCTGATTTAACCAAAAAAGCTCACATTTAGCGTGTTCAAAAGCGTCTGACTGGCAGTGTTGATCACACCCTCAGTTTCCACTTACCCATCATGACACACCACTTTGACCCCACCACTCTCTTCACTTTCACAAACCCTCAGAGTACTGCAACCTTTTCGAAAGAAGCTCAACGTCAATTAGTGACAAAACACATTTCATATCGTCAGCAGTAATTAAAACCATTTCCGTGTTGTAGCTTTTTGATGACACAAACTAAAGAAATAAAATGACTGAGAATCGGCCACAAGCAAAGCAGTTTGGGATAATCCTATCATCGAAAGTGGTGTCTGGTGTTCTCTGATCCTTAACACAAACAAAGGAGGAATTGAGTGGTTGTTTTTCAGACTTTTTTTACACTGTATCTTTTGTTGCTGATGAGACATTGGTGAAAAGTAAAATATGAAATTGTCATTTTTTTGAAAACAATCACATTTACTACTAAATTACTGAAGATAATTCCTAGCTATTTCCAGGATGTCTAAGAATTAAGGATCAGAAGCCAACAAACAAAAATAATTCATAATGCAAATGCTAGCATGATACAGGAATTTAAGGACATGTCTGTGGCATACAATTCAGTCTTTTATTTTCTTTATATTTACAGATTAGAGGAAAATTTATCTACTTCTATACACTGTTCCATGTAGTTTCTGTGTCGGTTGACCACTTAGCTTTTGTCCGTTACCACAACTACAGTAGTTTGAAAATCAAGACGCAACGTCCACTCAAAACTGAGGAATACAAAGTGATAAAACCTTCAACATACTTTTTCTAGTAACCAACAAAACCAACTTCAATAAGGAAAAATATGGAGGTAGCTAAGTGGTCAACCGAATCTCACCTTTTTATATTTTATTTTTTTTATAACTTTTTTTAGCATTACGTACATATACAAGTGTAGATAATATAAGTATATATTCATATATACATAATGAGTATGTATATATACCGGTAATGCATTCATTATATATACTTATTTTCTTCACAGATATGTGAAACAGGAGAAAAAAGGACTGTTACAAATAAAAAGTTAAAATGAAACAAAATGCAGAAAAAAAACCTACTGATAGAAACAATTTATAAATGCACTTTGTACTATTTTTTTTGTGTTTTTAGAAACAGTTTTACCTTTTTTGTTTTTGTTTTATATATTTCATTACTTACTTATAATGTGGGAGGGGTGACACTTATTTAAAGTAGGAATAGTACCCATTGCTACCATTTGAACTTCCTATACTCAGCTCTTGTAGGAGGGAGAGGGGGTCGCTGTTCTTTTTGGCCTGTTCAGGGCGAACAGCTCGGGGTTTGGGTGGAGCGCGGAGGGCACTGGCGTAGGACATGGTGGGTGGTTTGCTTAAATTTGGAGCCCCCTGGCTGGCCTCTGCGGGAGCCTGCGGTGGGGGGGGGGGGGGGGGGCTGCTGCTGCTGCGGCGGTGGCGGCTGCTGCTGCTGCTGCGGCTGCTGTGGCTGCTGTGGCTGCTGTGGCTGCGGCGGCTGCTTGTTATTGGGCATGAGAGGAGGAAACTGTCCGAGGTGCTGAAGGGAGTTGAGGGAGTGGGGGTGCGTCTGCTGTCCTGCTGTGGCCTCGGCCTTCACCTGCTCCTCCGTCTGGCGAAGGGCTTTGGCAGCTGCCGGACCCACAAAGAAGAAACGAGGAGAAAAAAAAGAGAGGTGCCGCAAAAAGATACAAAGTGAATTAGACCTGAATGGAACATCATGGATACATCTCAAACAGCTCTGTATATGGGGAACAAAAGCCTATTTGGCGAAACATCGGCCATAAGACTGTTAAACAGCTGAACTTTTGAAAGAACATCCATAACATTCATCTGTTTGCAACTTATATATATATATCAATATTCCAATTACTTGTATAGAGACTGTTCTGCACTATTTCTATTATATTCTATTTGATTTGATTGACTTGCAGTATTATCTGTTTTATTGTGTTGCACTGTTGGAGGAGCCTGTGACCTAAGCTTTTCATTGTCATAACTACACTGTAGCTATGTTCGTATGACAATAAAAGCCTTGAATCTTGAAACATACCCATTAAGTCCCGGTGCTGAGCGAGGGTGGCGGCTCCGTTACATGGAATGTTCTGGAACGGACCAGGACCGGGGCCTCCGCCGTTACTCGGCCAGACGTCATGTGGGGGGTAACCGTAGGGGGCGTGTGGGTGCTGATGGTGCTGTATGTGTGGATGAGGGTGTTCCTGGGGGTCTGACGGACAGGGCTGGGGCTGCTGGGACAGGGCGGCGTGGGCGTTGGCTGGAGACGAGTCATCCGGGTAGGTGGAGGAGATGCGGCGCTGATAGAGGGGCCGGCCCGGACCTCTGGGTTCATACTGCACAGATAGGAAGGTGAGATGGATGAGGAAGAGGAATGGGGGAGAGATTTAGACTGACAGAACGGTGTGCAAAATATCCTTAAAAGAGGAAGAAACCCATAAGCAGCTTCTCATTCAGTGATGGAGGCATCAATGAAAGAGAGAACACTTCTGTGCAAGCGTTTGCCAAATATCTGTTTTATGCATTCACCACTATTTCCATTTTTCTATTCAAATTGAACTTGCCACTAAAAATGTAACCTGTAATCCATTTCCTCTCCCGTTACACAGCACCTGAGCTACACATTGTTATTCTCATTCTGCATCTTTATCAAATGTGTGAGATTTAGGTCATTCAGATGTTATCAGGAAATGCTAAATCTCTACTTTATGCAACACAGAGATGAGCATTCGAGACAACTCGGCTAATCCAATCATATAATCTAAACTGTAACAAGGTGGAGAACATGTGACCAAATGACTCAAATAAAAGTCCAAATGAAAGAAACATACCTCATCTACATTGTGAAGGGCTGTGGCTGCTGATGTTCTGGGCGACAGAGGGTGGTAGGACTCCTGGTCTGGACCTTGACTTTGTTGCTGCTGCTGCTGCTGCTGTTGCTGTTGTTGTTGTTGTACTTGTTGTTGTTGTTGCTGCTGCTGCTGCTGCTGCTGTTGTTGCTGCTGCTGCTGCTGTTGCTGCTGCTGTTGTTGTTGCTGCTGCTGCTGCTGCTGTTGTTGTTGTTGCTGCTGCTGCTGCTGCTGTTGCTGTTGTTGTTGTTGTTGTTGGTGGTGTTGCTGCTGCTGTTGCTGTTGTTGTTGTTGTTGCTGCTGCTGCTGGTGCTGATGGTGAAGTTGCATCAGGTGGACTTGCTCCTGCTGCCTGCTTGGATGAGCCATGATGGGCATGGCATAAGGAAGGCTGTGACCCTGGTTCCCCAACAGGTGGTTCTGCTGTGGTGGGCTCACTGACGCAGCTCCACCGTGGGGCCACTGGGCCTCTTGCAGAAGGTATTTGACCTGGGAGGAAGGGGGGCTGCCAGAGTGGGCAGGGGGCTGATGCGGGTAGTTACCAGCGTTATACAGGGGGTTGGCCGGGTGCTGCTGCAGAGCTGCGTTGTTCAGAAGGTTTTCATTGAGCATGTCGCGGCCTGGGTCATGGGAGTAGGGTCCTGATGGGTAAGGGCCAGCATGATTGGAGGTGGCGGCCAATGAGGATGAAGGGTCACCTGAGGAACGGGACTGAGACTGGCGGTACTGGAGGAGACGGGATTGAGGTGGGGGCTGCATCTCAGCTGGATCCCTGGGTTCAGGCTGTTCCTGAGGGGGCATCTCTCTCAAGAGACCCGGGTACCTGGGAATTACAAATGTATTCAACACCCAAACTCATTCAAGCAGCAGCGAGGAAAAGAAAACAACAATAACTGAAGGGCAACCAACAAAAATAACATTCAACAGCAATATTTACAGTCCAATTTCAAGTAATTATCTTGTTTAGTTTGCTCTTCTGCACACTCAATTTAAAATCATACATAACATGTTCAAAAGTAAAACTAAAATGTCTTTAGATATAGGTTACAGACCAACAAAAATGCATATTAAAGAAACTTTGGGTCATTGTTACCTGTTGAAAGGCGGCCCAGAGGTGGCAGAGGTTACAGCCTCGTCCTCCATGTTGGCACCGAGGCCCCAGCTCGCAGCCCGGAGCAGCTGATGGGGGAATCGAGCCATGCCGGGCTGAGCCAGGTGGGCGAGCTGCTGAGGGAGAGGGAAGGCGACGCCGCCCTGGAGGAAAGGGCCCGCCTCGTTCCACTGGCCCAGCCTGGCTGCCTGCTGTTGCTGTTGCTGGCTCAGGGCCTCGAGAGCCATGGGCCCCTGGAGGTCTGAAAGTGGAACCACAAGATTAGTTTTCAAAATCACTGTCCTCATGACTCGGTGGTCTGATGTACTGTACAGTTAAGTTTAGGATGTTTTACAATCTTTTGATTAAGGAAACGTATCAAATAAATTGCATATTTATTTATATATTACATATGATAACACAACATCTGATTATGTCCCATCATAATCAATGCAGAGTTTACATGTAAACTCAATTCAGCTAACAAGGATCTGTTTGCAAATATATATAAAATCATAGAGTATCACTCCTTATGGAGTTAATCCAAAACAAAGAAAAATCAAGAAAGGCATCTTAATTAAGGAACATTTCTTTGAATCATTATTGCCTTTTAAGTTGTTGTAATGTGCTATTGAATCAAAGATTTATATTATTAAAAAAGATTTTCACTGGGGAAGAAAACATTGCTTGAGCTTTAATCAACAACACTAGCTTTAGTCCCACAGACCAAATACCAAGTGATAATATGGGCCAACATCAAAGTGAATATTAAGAATGGCAGCTACTTATTAGCCTCCCAGAAATCAAAGGATCTTGCAAATAAGTCAGATTATCGGGATAGGAACTACAGTCAAATCAAATGTCTTTTTTTGATAAAAAAAAAAAATGTAATTGTAATACTTTGTTCAAGGTTAGTCTTTACCCAAATTATCAAGCTTGTATTACAACCAACCAAACAATCAAAAATATTCTGTCTTTAAAAAATAAAAATAAATCTACAAAACAAAGTCACCATTTCTCATCCAAACGTTAAGGGTTTGCCTTACAAAAGGGAAACATAATGCTCCACTCACCCAAACTCTCTCCCATGCTTCCATCCTGTCCGTCCTCCCCAAAGCTGTTGACCCTGTTATGCTGCGACAGGCCTGGGTGGTGGCCCCCCGCGTGGCCCATCGGAGTCCTAATGGAGCTACTCATCTCCTCCACCCCTACGGACTCCGACCCATCCATAGTGGGAGACTGGACGGCCCTGTGGGGGGGAATGGTGCCACTGAAGAAGGAAGCGTTGTGGCTGCCACCAGCGTAGGCAGGGCTGAGTTGCTGCTGCTGCTGACTCTGGGGGGGCATCCCGGGGTGAGGGGGCTGGCCGACCCGATAGGGAAGTCTGGAGACCGGATACTGAGGGGGGAAGGCCCTCCCACTGGCAGGATGTGGGGGGAAAGCTGGGTTGGGTGGGGCCAGGTGGTAGTTCAGGGGTCTTTGGGCAGCTGAGGGATCCTTTCGATGCAGCATCGCATTGGGAAATCCACCAATCCCGTCAGTCTGGGAGTCTAGACTTCGACTCTGGCTTGTGTCTAAATCACCCTGGATACAAAATAAAGAAAAAATACACCATGAGCAAAGAGGCGTGGCCATTGATCAATTAGGTAGATTGTTTATGGGTGAACAATAACAAATGAAACACAAGTGTCAACAACATGCCTGTTTTTCCTTCATGTCTGCGGTTTTCCTCTCTGGTGTATGAAGACGGCTCTGTTCTGGCTTTGGACATCCTTCTAATTTACCTAAACAAAAAAACAAAACATAATTACCATTGGCTTGGCTTTTTAATACAGTCCGTTCTTTCTTTTGATGGAAGAAAAATTACAGTAATTTGCTAATCTTGGTGGTTGTTCGAAGGGAAAATTAAATTCAAGGCGCACCATTTCTGATGGGGTCAGCCTGGAGCTCCTTGTCGGGGCTGGGCTGGCCCATCCCGAGAGGAGAGGGGTGCCCGACCCCACTGTAGGGGATGGGGGACCCTCGATTCTGGGCCTGCAACAGATTGAAGTTGTAGGCCATGGCCGCCGGGTGGCTCATGATGCGAGGATCCACAGCAAAGCGATTCTGGTAACCTGGCCAAGGCAACTAAGGAAACAAATACACAGATGGACAGATTATTGATCAGGAAGCCATAACACAGGAGAGAAGGGTTAACACATACTGTGGAATATGGAGAACACATTGTACATCATATCAAATGCATATGAATTAATCAAATAATGTTCTTGCCATACACTATTTGTAAGAAATAAGCAAATCTCAACTAAGTGGAACTATTTAACTAGTAAGATTGTTCTATGAGAGCAAACTTGTGGTATAATTCTGAGCTGGCAACTTGTATGTGGAATAAACTGATATTCTCGCATTATAAAACAAAATGTGATATTTGACAAAATATTTAGACGGATTAGAAGATTATAATATTGGAATATGACCGTGGCCTGGTGGCACATTGGATATAGTGGCATTGTACACATTCTAACAAGTGAATTTGTGTCAGTTTAAAAAACGTGAAACTTACAGGCAGGGGCATGGACATGACCATGTTTCCACCGTACACAGCTGGGACGTAGAGGATACTGGCGCCGGTGTGGGGATCTATCCTCTGAACAGGACTGGGTGACTTGCCCATGCCAGCTGGTGTGCCTCCCAAGGGTGGGCTGAATGCCCGAATTGGGTTACCCATCAACACGGCTGGGTTGGGTTGCACTGCAATGGAGAAGATGGCATGTTAATACAAGTAAGCGCAAAAGGTTCTTAACCGTAATGCGACGACACACTGAGAGCATGCAACACACAAGTCCCAAGCATATCTAACTATTCATAGCTTGGAACATGTCAGATTATACCCTGTATGATTCTAACAGAGAGATGAAAAACAGCTGATGGCCAACCCTGTATAGATAAAGAAGGGTTTTTATTTAATTTTTTCAGTAGATGGATGTAGCTGGCTGACAGTTTTTCAGCGGCTGCAGCAAGGTCATTGTGTTCCCGCAGTAAACATCGTATTATCAGCTCCTTGCTGTGTTGTTCAGGGCTGCATCGCACTGATGGCTTCAGCAGCCTCAGGCCTTCATGCATCCATCTGGGCGGCTGCATTAGACTGGCTCATATCAAGCTGTCGAGATGTGCGCCATATTCAAAAATATATAAATATGATAATGACAGCAATGCTACAGGGATTTCCTTTATTTTTTTGATGCAGTATTTATTAACCTTAGTAATGTATAACTTTCATGGATACGTTTCAAATGTGAACTGCATTGTATTCCTATCCCTTTTCCTTTATCTACATCCAGACAAGTTCATATTCTAATCACCTTAAATGAGCTACAACATATACAGCATATCAAATTGCTTTTTATTCTAATGATCTTTGGAGCTACAAAAAAAAGAAGCTTGCGAAAAGTCTTAAGTTTGCTGTTGCAATTTCAGACATGTCAAAAAACAAGAAAAAGACATGAACAGAAGAACCAGGTAACAGTTCAGCTCACCATATCCTTCAGGTGGTAGATGCTCTGTGTGGTTGGCATGTTTTCCCTGTAAGACAAAAGAATCATTAGAAAATCACAAGCAAAACTTCAAGGGTATGCATTAAACAAATATTTGACTGCTTTTTTTTTTTACAGAATAGGCCAACGTAAAACTTGGGGTTTTCTTGTAGAGAGGCAGTTTCTATTTACTCATCAACATTTTTAAATATGTGCAATTATAAAAGCATTTAAATGGAGGAGTCATTATTAAAGGATTGCATTAATAAATCCACTAAAGCCATTGATCAATGTATTCCATAAACAACCACGGATAGAACTAAGCTGTCCAAAATCTCAAACACACAAGAGCTACACTGCTGCGTGTGTCCGACATAACCCCGGTTAACTCTGGATTTATTTTGGGACTGCTTTGTTGATTTCATGATACGAGTTAACATGTCTGCCAAGTAAGAACCTTTGTGCCACATCTCCAGGGGGCTTCAGTTACAGCACCAGCATCTACATGTACACGCAGAGTTTCAACTGAATCCTGATCAATGTTGACACACACTAAATTACTCATGAAGGCCATACACACAATCAGCTCCCGTGAGATCTCCCAATCCCTGAGTTTAGGATGATCCTGTCTATTTTATTATGAATTGCTATACGCAAGCATACACAACAATCTACTTAGAGCTCTTTCTGCGGCTGGTTCTGTGAAACGCAGTCTCTCTCGGTTGAATGAGGTGTAAACAGATAGTCCATGACAATAAATATGCTTTCTTCAAGCGGAGAATTCATGACATGCTACATTCCAATGCCTTTATTATTATGCTGATATTATATAAAGCTAATATTATTATATATCTTTCAGGTAATGGATAGTAATTCTGTTGAATTTTTAAGAAGTCCATAAACTACATTTTTTCTGGCACTTCCTACTACTACTACTACTAATACTAATTCAGTCTTTGGCACTTAAGACACACTTTCAAGTATTGCAGCAAGAAGTTTTGAACAAAAGATGAATAATAAATAACTTGAACATCTGACATTACAATGCAAACCAGTACCGCAAAATGTATGACATCACATAATCAAAAACTGAACATAATAGGAATGGCTTTTTTAGCAATGCTGTAAAATGTTCCTGGCAAAGCCTCTATACACCAAGAAGAACATGTTGGAAAGAAAAGATCATTTGCTGAGAAAGATTAAACTAATACTGAAAATGAGACGCTAGGAGATTCAGCTGTGAATGCTGTATTTTAAATAACAAATTCTGAAAGACAGCCCGGTCATATTGGGACAGATGTTGTCAAAACTGACAGGGAACTCTTTCTCAATATGATCCGTCTCCTTCCCGCAGCTTCACACCCAGCATAGCCAATGTTCTTTGGTACTTCAAATATGGTTATATTCGAAGGGCAGCATGTCCTCTCAACCTAAACTGAGAACCAGCCAACATACAAGGTGCTTCCACATATAAAAGAGATTTAATTTGAAACGGCACCTTTCTTATTGGCATGAGATAACGACATATTATATCAAATTACTGCAACTAAAGCACAAGTCAATGTCGGTAGAATGCAATGATCTTGTAGTAAATGCACAAAAGATGCAATCTTGTAACATGTACTCTATATTGCGAGAAATATCTTCTTGAAATTAACACAGGTCAGAGATGATGTCAGACAGGCAGTCTGCTATTTTAGGGCGTAACATCATCTGAGCTAATATGATTAATGTCCTTAAACGGAGAGGATCTGCTGAGAATACATAGCACTTCTTACTGGATGTTTAAAACACTGAGCGATTATATACTTCCTGCTTGTAATGTTACTTTAACTATCCAATTTAAAGAAAAAGGAAGTGATGCCTCGGGTTTGTCTTTGTTAAACCATTTTGAATGTCAAGTGCAGCCGTAATAGTTTGGTTCTCACTCTTTATCTGTCGGTGAGGTAGTGCTGAGCAATCAATAGCACGAGGTTGTGGTTTGTTGAAGAGATAAATAAAGATACTAGAAAGATCTTGATCGAGATGTGCACACAAACACAAACGCTCAAGAATATGTACCAAAAGGAAGTCACATAAGGCTACGTAATACCAAACATTTCACTTGTTCCCGACACCAACTCACTGTATCACTTCTTACTAGAAGAATCGATGCATACAAAAATAATGAATACATAGTTGGTTTAATTAATTGAAATTGCACTTGTAAATCCTATTTCCCCATAGAGAATGGCCCTGATACTGCTGAAGGTTGAAACTACATAAAGCTTTGGAATGCAAGACATTTTTTTTTAAGTGTCAGACTTGCATACTTGCACCAAAACACCATCCGTGTCAGAAAACAGCTCGCCACAATATGGAGTCAACTGAAGCATATATTTCTGGTAAATGGATGCCTTACACACAAACTATACGCTTTCTGATTCCATTTACAAGTATTTGCAACTACACATCGTTTACAGTTTTTTTGGTCCTTGGGTATTTTGCTTGTTTATGACATTGAACCATTTCAACAAATGCATCTATGCATTTTCTACTCACACTTAAGCAACCACATTCAACCCACCACAGGTTTTATTAGTAACTAGGTTGAGACCATTTTTAAGGGGAACTAACTTACTATATTTTTATTTGACATCTGCAGGGATTTGTTAGCTGAACACCACAGTGGGTACAATGTACAGTGGTGACAGAGAGCTCCAACCTATAAATTGGCCACATGCTGCATTTGCTGCATTTATTGCATAGTGCATAGAGATAGCACCATGTCTGTGTGGTTGTGAGCCACACAGTTTGACTGTGGAAAGAGAGAGGAACTGTGGGGGCTCTTTTAAGTCAGCTGATGCTGCGGAGCTGCGGCTCATTAGTCCCTGTGGGAGACGGCAGCAGGTTGGCAGCTGTGGTGATTTCGTTAACCTTTACCTCAGGGCGGGCAGGGAGAATGGACATACAAGGAGACGTTTCTACTCCACAAACAAACACCACATCCTTCTGTCCAAGCCTGCAATGCTAATTTATGTGTTGTTTTTCAGGGGTCAAAATGAACAGCCAGAAAGTAATTTCCTGTGGTGGAAAATACATCGAATCATTTTGATAGAGATGTGTTTTGTGCCCGTGTGTGCAGAGCTTTTATCATTTGTTTTGTCTCTAAAAGCAAGGAGCACTCAATTTATTCTGGATAATTTGTTTACTATTTCCACAAACCAATAAATGGTTATCCAACAGATTACATTAACATAGAAAACCTTCTAACATTTGAGCTTTTCAAATCATCCTCTGCTCCACCTGTTTGTTTTTGTATTCTGCCGTCCTAAAGCCTAAGTCTCTTTACAGAAGAAATACAGTAAAGGCATAAATAAGATATAAACATTTGATTCATTACCCACCCTTTTGGTGTCCGAATGTGAAATGCCCATATTTAAAAATGGCCATGAATAAGATGTAGGTGGAAAAGAGTAATGATTTCCACTGAAAACCTCACCTTAGGGGGGGACTGCTGCTGCTGTAGCTGCTGCGGACCCTGCTTGCTGGAGGAGGGCTGTACATGCTGAGGATGTGGGTGGTGGAGGGGGTGGAGGGACAGCGAAGACGCGTGGTGCCCGAGCAGTGGCCTGAGGGCGCGGGGGATGAACTCTGGGGCCAGTGGGTTGAGGACGTAGGTCTTCTTTAGCTCCAGGGCCTCCAGCTGAGACTTGATCTGCTCGAAGGTGATACCGTGCAGACTCGAGTTTTCATGGCAGATGGAGATGAAATGCTCCCAGAATTTTCTGTAAAGACAGGAAGCAACAGATGGAGATTAGGTTTTCTTTCTATTTTCCTTTATGCCTCCTTGGATTGAGTGTTTCATGGATCATATAGTTAATGTTTTGTGCTGGCAGTGTAACAAATGACTCCTTAGGGGCTGTTAAAAACAAACATGAACAAGGCATGTGCAAAGCAGGTGTTAAAAAGGAGAGAGGAAAGTGAGGAGAAGGAAAATCAGCAGAATGATGAAGCAGACCAAAGGGAAAGCAAATTAAAGCTAGGAGGAAAACAGGAGCGACAAGACTGAGAAGAACAAAGAGCATCGTTATCTCTCAGTCTACAAATCTGTCAGATTTAACAAATACAATCATACCATTCTCCCTGGAACTAGATATGTGAAAATGGGCTTTTAAGGAATAATTGACTTTCTCATTTGGCCATACAATGGTCCTTATACTGTAATAGTCATACAAGAGTGAGAGGAAAACCCACAATGTTAGTGTGCTTACATTTTAACTGTGATAATCGTCATTATTGTCATGATAAATGGTAGGATGCTGTTTTTGTGAATCAAAGAGTGTTTGCTGTTGTTGTGTGTAGTAACTGCAGCGTATCAGGTCCCCTCTGGAAATCTGATCCACGACATTGAAATTGTACGTAGCCTTTTACCTTTTAACACATCAATGTTATTGTTCCCTCTCTGCATAATGACATTTGCACACAACCACAAACACTAAGGACCTGACATGTTACAACAAATTGTGCTATGGAGATGGAGGGTTAGTACTAGAGGTGAATGAGAGATTAGAGAACAATTCTAATAGAAATAGGTCCGAACAAAGTGGTCAACATTTTAGTAGCTGATTTCATAGAATCATATTTATATACATTATATTTAATATATTTATTAAGTCTTTAGAAGAGTTTGGTATGAGGAGAATTCATTCTCTGCCACATTGAATAGAGCTCTGCTATGTTACATTATTGAAGGTTTTAGTTAAAAGTGACATTTTTTACCTGCAGCGTCCAACAGAACACAGTGCTATGGGGTCTCCCACCACTGCAACCAGGGACTGGGCTCTGGTGATGGCCGTGTTGAGTAGCTTGTAGTTGGAGAGGAACCCATAGTCCAGGTCCTCTGTCGAGTCCTCAACCAGCTGCTCTTTGCGCTTGATGGCCGTCTGCTTGTGTTTGCACGTGTGCCGCGTCCGCACCGTGCTGAGGAACAGCACCCGGAACTGCTTACCTGCAAAACATATTTATTGTAATGAAGTTTCGAGTACTCTGAGAAGCGCTATAAAAAGGAAAAGATTGTTATAAAAAAATGTATTCTAAGGACTTCCCATTAGCCTCAATGCCATGTCTTGAGTATTTCTACAAAAAGAAGAATCCATGTAACTTCTAAAATAGAAAACTATCTTGTAATTATTTGATCTTCTAATGACTCCAGAGGCTGTGTGTGTGCACATGTGCGTCGACATGTTTCATGTGTGACTAATGAGGACCTTAATGACCTGTAGAAAGCAGTTAGATGCAATACAAGCGGAAGCTGCATGAAGCAGACAAGAGATTGGTTAGAGAAACCAGAACTCATATCCTCCTGTTACTGGGACTAGATGATAAGAAGGGCAATATTAACACTGATATCATCAGTGGGAAATGGTAAGATTATCATTTTTGATGCTTTGACATAGCTGCTTTTTTCCAATAATCAACTTCCCATTCATTCAATAATTGTAATACACTCTTAAATACTACAGATAAACCCCCAAAATACTAAGTCTTAAATTATTTATGTACATGCAGTACCCCAACTGGGCAATTATAATTTCAGAATATTCCTAAACTTGTACTTATTGTATCACTAGTTTCTCCTTTGGAGTCAGGATATACACACATGTACAGTAGATGCAATACAAATACAAAGCATGATCCTGTTGGATAACACTCACCTTGGACGTTGAGCACTCTCTCCACGCTGACTTCATGCATTCTCTTCTTTCGGAGCTCGGCACGAATGCGGAACACCTGGTCAGCGTACGGTGACACCACTCCAATGCTGCCGTCGTCCAGCTTACCCCACGCCACCGGCCACTTCTTACGCAACTCTTCCACTCGCTCCACGATCTCAAACACCTGAGGACACAGAGGGGAAACGTGAGGGAAAAAGACAAAAAGACCTGTGGGAATTCAGAGACTAAGGGATATTTTCCAAGTAAAATGTCGGCATTTTAATAAAGCCATAAAACTGAATGCTATGGCCTGATTAAAATGGAAAAAAAGTTTAGCACTTTATGATCATGCGTTGCCAAATGCATTTTACTGACCAACAGACTTAACACCTGCAGTTTTGAGTATTACTACTACACAAATATTTATTAACACAACTTTAACTTGTTAAGCACCAAGCCTGTTTTTCATGTTTCAGGCTCAAAAATGACATGCCCAAAACAAATGACTACAACTTAACTTCTAAAAGGGTTATATGAATAATTTCTTTTATCAAAGCAAGGTTACATCTGTGAGTTGGATGGAGAAGTGTCAGAATCAATATAGATGTTTTTTATTTTAAAGAAAATTCAGATTTTACATAGTAAAAAACTGTAAATTATAGTGTCCGTCCAAAAATTCTTTTTGACTTATAGTGAAAAAAGAGTCTCACTGTACATGCATTTATAATTTCATGTCCAATCAATGTATTGTGTGTAAACTAAACTTGGCTTGGAAATACATTATTAAAGCAAGAGCTGATATTTTGAATACATATTGTTTTTTCAAATCATATGAGCAGTTTTTCAACTCATGTTCAGATCTTTTACATACTGACGAAGACTTTGAACTGTCAGGGAAATATTGTCTTCCACTTGACGCTAAACCCATCAGACACTTGCACGGGAATAACAAACTGACACGCTTTTTCAATGCATTTTCGCAAGATTATGATAATGTTGTTAATGGTTTGACATGAGTGCTGTATCAAAGAGAAGGGGGGTAATTCATTTGGCATTGCTGACAGTTTGGTCGCAAAATAGAGAAGCGTCCATAGTTTAATTTGGGGGGGTCGGAGACTGCCAATGACCACAAACGCATGAGTCTACAGAGGAACCAATCAAAGGCAAGAGCTGTCAGAGAATCAAGCATCATGGCTGTCAAATGAGGCTCCTAATTAAGTTCATGGGTTTCATCTTTAATTAGGATTAAAGACAGTGAGTGTGATGGGGAGAAATTAAAAACAGCTGATCACTTTCGGATAGGCATTCTGCTTTTGACTCAACTCAAATCAACTGAATAAACTAAAATACATTTCTTTGCAATGAAAACCCTGAATTATTTATATCAAAATGGGATCCGAAGCCTAACGCATAAATAGTTGAAATGCTTTTTCACACATACGATCAAACCAAGTGGCTCAAATTGAACTGAAATACAGTAACCTGCGAGTTAGATGTTCATTCATGTGCAACTAATCTATCTTGTTCCAGCAAGTTTAGCGATTGTTTTTTAGTGTAAAATGCTTGTAATTGCATTATATAAATGTATTTATGAATGTTCTAATCATTTATTTATTTCAAAATGTTACATTCACTTAGAGTACATATTAACACAAATCCTTACATTTTTTATAAATCTATATTCCCCTAGCAACATTCACACAAAAACTCTATGACCGATTGACTGGTTCATAATGTATATGCAAACCTCATGAGGCCTGCCACAGCCAAAGAACAGGATCATAACAATGATATACCTCTGCGTTGTTGTAGTAGGCAGTGCTGTTCTTCTCCTGGACATCTTCTCCTCGGGCTGTGAAGAAGGTCAGAGGGTAGAAGTCCTTGTGGGAGGGCTGCTTCCCGCTTGCCATCAACTTCCCATCGTAAAATAATTCTGACGTGTAGCTGTGGAAAAACAGGAAAAGCTAAATAGTTAGAATATGTTGAGAAAAGAGTGGGTTAGTGCTAATATATCTATCAGGAATTACTGATCATTTAAGCCAAGGAAAACAGATATGTTTGTTTGGAAATCCGATTACCTTTTACTCCTGTATATATTTATACACACACACATTTCACTATTACACAACCTGGGATGTATGAGATTTTGACCCAAATATGAACTGCACTTTACACAGCCAAATTAGTTTTTAATGACTGACTTGTTCAAAGATCCAAGAGATATGAGATATTGTGCCTTATAATATAATAATTAAAACAAAGATATGTCTAATGTCCGAGTTGTTATCAGTGTGTATGCTTATGTGTGTAAGAGATAACAAATAGAATAACTGTGTATATCAGTACTTTAATGATGATAATAACCATTTTAATTTTGGTCAATTTAATCATATCATGACCTTTTCTGTGTTCACCGTTTTATCTCTAGTGTGTTTGAGTGTGTTCCTCTTTTGAAGCAACAGTATGCAGCAAGGCCTGGCAATGACCAGTGAAATGCAGTATGAACAACAACCTACTTGCAAAATGTAAAATTGGGCTAAAGAACATACTGTTACATTGTAGATGCATTGCGGCAGCTGCACAAACTTTTCTTTGTGTCTGCCTGTCCTTTTTACCTGACCCCCTCCTCCCGCCCGCTCTTCTCTAGAGTATTTCAGCCTCTCCTCCCAAAGTCTCAACACAAGGGCTCACACTTACTTGATGATAGCTTCATGAGAGCGGTAGTTCTCGCACAGGAGAATGCGACAAGGGTATTCAGCGGGGTAGTGCTCATACAGACGGTCCAGCAGTGACACGTGCAGGTTACGCTCCCGCGCAAACTCACTGTACACAAATGGACTGAGCTGCAAATCGAGAGATACAAAAAGGTTAGTTGACGAAGATAAATAAGTCTGTCTCAATTATTTTTCTCTCCATTCAACTATACATTTCTATTTGGTATACTGAATCAATAAAAAGTCTAACAAAGCAGTGTGTCAAACCTCACACATAAAGACATGTTTTTCAGGACACCTTGTCCTCCATGGCACATAAAGTAGCTTTGCAAGGCAGGTCTACAATAACTACATGTGTTTGCAATCTCCTTTATGATTCCAAAGTTATTTAAAGGGGACCTATCATGCAAAATGCACTTTTGTACATCTTTTATACATGAATATGTGTCCCCGGTGTTCCAGGGAACTCACCAAGTGTCAGAAAACACAACCCTCTCTATTTTCCTCCATACCCAAATCTCTAAAAAAGGGGCTGCAACGGATCTGATAAAAACTGATCCAGATTTGAACACGTTACTGACGTCAGGACGGTGGCGCTACGGCTATTGGGCCAACTCTGCACCTATCAGGGGAATGTGGGGTTGGGCCACGGCCGGCCATTGCCGCTCGAAAGCGCTGGAGACGCTGTAGTACATATGCCAGACCTGTAAGTGGCGCTGTAGTCTGCCACAAAAGCAGTGAAAAAGACTTCCCGCGCATGGTTACCCTTCTGTTTATTCTCCGCTGTGGCTTTTTTTCTCCCTCCCCGAGGCAAGCGTTTGCTCCTGCTGCTGTATGCAATCCCTCCCCGTCGAGGCAAGCACTGTAATTCTCTCCGGTTAGTCTACCAGCAGATGACAAACACCCACCTCTCCGCCTCTTCCAAGGAACGAGGGGACCGTGCGGCAGAGTTTCAGTTAGGTTTTCTTTCGCCGGTCAAGATGTCCGTTAAAGTTTAAATCTTCCGGACAAAATTAGAAAAGTGCCGGTCAAAGGTCTTCTTTGTTATTTATTGAGCTTTAAAACAAATGAATAACGACTATATAATTATATAATAAAACACGGAGGACGGAGATCTATTTTTCTCCCCCTCTTCTGACTTGATCAGAGCACGCTCCCCTCTCCTGCAGGGGGGCGTGGTCAGCTGCAGCTCACAGAATCAGCCCCTTGCAAAAACAGGGCTGGAGAACAGCAAATAGAGCGAAATGAGGCATGGCTAAAATGCATGATCTGTTTGGTATTTTGAAAACAGAAACGTATAAATATACCTTATATAGGTATGGCCCTACAATATATCATTTAAATATAGCATGATAGGTCCACTTTAAATAACATTTCCCAGGCATGTCATCTGCTTTGACAGCATGGAATACAGAATTTCACAGCAGTTTGCCTTATATTTACATTTCTTTAAATGAAGTTTAAATCCTAACAGTTTGGTATCTGAGTTTGTTGCTTGAGCATTTATAGTTGCCATTTACATTTTTTCAAAAAAGCTTTTAGTAAGCAAGGATACTCCAAGTGTTCCTACTTTTAATTAGTTGATTTTAACAACTGACTTCCTGTTTTAAGGAACATAAGATGAGAAAGTTGTTTCTCTACTTCTGACTTGTAAGCTTTTCCATCTGGTGTTTATGTCAATAAACAAACAGACCTTGAGTCACATTGATTAAGTGGAATTTACTCAGTGATTTCACAGCAGTTTGAGAACATGCCAAATTCAATATATATATATATTTATATATTCAGTGGCCAGTCTTAGTTACTGATCTGCTCCAAAATGTCACTGCTAGCAAGCCAAGGCAGAGTAGCAAACCAAATGTTGTATTTGAGTTTGTATTCATTTGTAATTTATTTAAGCAATAAATTAAATAAGTGAATAAATCAAGCATAACTTCAATATTTCTTTGGTCTGACAGTAGTAACCAAGATGTGTGACCACCATCCCAATGTGCTTTGATTTGAATGAGGCTTCACATTGAAAACTGCAAGCACTCACACAAGAAAGAGGGCTATTTATCTTGAGGTTGAATCTTAATGTAAGCCCGTTAGAGAGAGCGGGTCAGCCGGCTTTAATGAGGCCCCACACGGTCAATAACAAAGCACACCATCAAAGGCCTCTGCCTCCATTGACTATTCAGACTGCTCTAATGCTGCTGAATAATGGAGGCACACTGTTAAAGTGTGAGCAGAAAGGCTGAGGAGACAGAGATATTGTATGAAAAGGACAACATCCTGCATTTGTTGAATAACTAATCGATAATGTAGGACCGATGAATAATTAAGATCTAAGAAAAGTTTGTCTTCTAAATCTTCTTATCTTGGTTAAAGAAAGTAGCAAAGAGAGAGTAGTTAGAGAAATCTTCATCTTCATTCGCTGCCTGCTGTAATCCCGTGCCAAGTCTTAAAACCAGGAGTGGGGGAAATACGGTTTTAATTCCTTGTTTTGGCTTACAAAGCTTTATTGGTGTGTTTATCTGGGCCTGAAGTGGACCCCAGAACCACAGCTCTACAGTTACTTTTAATTATGACTTCTACTTGTTCATAGATATGCTCTGCACCTGCGTTGCTTCACTGGTAAGTATCAGTTTGCCTTATAGGAGTAAAAAGATAGTATTTTTTACATGATATGGTCTAGTTAAGAAAAGAAAAACAGCTTTGTTTCACTGGAGAAACTCTTACCTGCATATGGTCTCCAGCCAACACAATGCGCGTGGTCCTGGTAGCGAGAGCAAAAGGCATGATGGTTTCACACTCCATGGCCTGGGCTGCTTCATCCAACAGGATATGAGAGAAAAACCCTGTCAAAGGAGATAACATCAATTTAATAATAATACTTTAAGTAAATCATGTTGACAACAGAAATGGGCAGCCTTTTTTATAAACATTTATAGAACTGTACAATAACACACACACACTGAAAAAGCAAAACAGTTTTTAAAAAATGTATCTTTGTGGGCAAAATTATATCTTTTTTATATTCTGAATCTAGTTTTAGGACAATACAGGTTGTGATGGGCTAAATAAGGTGTACATTATTGGCCCTGGTTTATAAAGTATTTGCTAATGATTGTACAATTTGTATATTGAGGCTGAAATCAGAGGTTCTCTTACTTGCAGATATGACCACATCAGCCATTTATCATGAACCCACAAATATGTCCTTACGTGACTTCATCGTGGCGGTCAAGTGCTAGAAAAATACAGAGCCTCCAATTTCTTTAAATGATGCCTTTTCAGCACCACAAGTTCTCTAAAGTGCTCCAAGAGAAGGCTTGATAAAAGATCCATAACCTGTGCCTTTCAATGTTGAATTACTGCAGTAGAACAAACCTCAGAACTCATTTAACAAGATAATACTTAGAAGCAACTTATATAGAGGATATTAACATTATGATCTTGAAAGATATCCATTCATAAAACATTGATATGTTGAATATTATAAGCATCAAAATGATTTGAAATAAAAGCCTATTGAATCAGATGATGCCTACTCATACCTTGACCTAGTAATGTCAACTATCGTTACATTGAAACATTTGGGAACAATAATGTTGTTCACCAGAAACATTAACACCCTGTAACAGTGCGATTCTCAAGAGTCATTTTTGTTCACCTCCTTTCAAGCAGCCCTACACACCAAAGGCAGGGTTTTGTGGACGTTTTGAAAGGTATTGAACAGTAGCCTAACCCTGATTTCAAAAGCTCAAACTGTGCTCGGCAGTATGAGGGGAAGGGGATGAAACGGCATGGCAAATGACTGCTGGAGCAGGGAAGAGAGAGGCTGCATAACAACCAGCAAACAGCCTCTGAAGCCAGAGAACAATTTCCACAGGAAAGTATATGTAGATGTGAAATTTGACGGTAGGAAATAACAAAACAAACTGAGGGACTGTCAAAAAGTAAACACACATAAGTAAAAGAGGTGGAGCATTGTGATTTGAGGCAACATTCCCTCCTTTGTATCTGCCTTTGAACAAATGCCTGCAAAACATATTGATTTTTTTTCCTACAACTATAAAGCAAGCCTCAAACCAGTGTTTTCTCTGTGTGCACCTCACTGAAGGATAGCACTGTTCACTTGCTGTCGTGCTGATAAAAAGGAGTACATATATTTTCTTTAAAATGGCCCAACATACAGGGTTGTTGCTCATAATGCGAGAAATGTATCTTAAAAACTTTAAAGTGATGTACCAAATGTGCAAAAGTGTACTTAAGAGAGTGTGAAAGAGCACTAAAATGTTTCTTGAAAATCATGTACTAAAACCGAAAAAGAAGAAAATGGAGAAGGCATTGTTAGATTTCAGAATGTCCCATTATGTAGTTCTAACCACATGATTTGTTCGATTTGACAGAGGTCACACTTATTCCGAAGGTGGTGTGTAATATGCATAAAATCATTCTCATTAGTAATCTCTGGATAATAGTCATGTACTTAAAATCATGTGCTTGAGTAATCTCTGAATCCACAATTTACAGACGAATGAAATCCAACATGGCGAGTCTTTATTGTGTTGAGAGCAATGGATTGGACTGGAATGGACTTGCTCAACAATGAAGTAGACGTACACTGTATCAAAAAACTAAATGGTATATTTGTATATTTCAAATGATTAGGAAGTAAATAATTTCATTTATTTAAGTATTTGCTTTGATCAAGGTTTTTAATGTATTTTATGCTGCTTAGAGCTAGCTAGGTCATAATTCCCTATTGCCCAAAAAATATACATTTAACAATGTTGCAAACATCATCATACGTTAAAATAAACCTTTGGCCAAAAACACTTTTAATACTGGTTCATTCCTGAAGGCATTATAATATTTCTCAAAAGCCTACATTTATCATATTGTTCTCTAAGGTCTAAGCAACCTACCTCCTGCAACTTACAGATAACTTAACTATCCTTTATGGCAATTTTAACACAGATTTGATCAGCAACTAGAAAGCATTAATGCTGATCTCCGAATCCCATCTTTTTTTACCGACTATAGTCTGATAAGGACTGGCAGTAGAACTTTATTTCCCACTGTGGGGGCTGTGTCATTTGCTGTGTTCATGTGTGCCCAACCGTGGGGGTGTCCTTGTGAATTGTAGGTCTACGGCGGTCCTTTACACTACTAAGATACTACAAATCATTCAGATGTGCAGCCGTTATATTACAAACCAGTCTGTACACTGTAGTCAGCGGGAGCCATACTGCATCAGGCCTGTTTGCTCTTCCACTTCGATTCACATGAATATGTTACGGCATATAGTGCTCACAAATAATGTACATGGGTCATTTCAATTGGAATTGTTTTCCCAAGCAGAGAAATGGAGATGGGGGGGGGGCAGGAAGGAGGCAGATATGGTCCTTATAAGCAGCAAGTAGACAGTGAGGCGGACATGAAGGAACATGGTGCTTAATGTTTCACCTGGGACATAATGCCCGCCTTGGGGACCACAGAGCCAGAGGTCCAAATTACATTTCTGTTGCTGCTATCTGTCATTGGACTAATAACGGTGTTTGAATTTAGAAAGAAAGAAGCAGGGGGGTATAATAAGCAGCACAGTCTTTCAGAAGTGATTTAAGGGACAGATGACGGTTTTAATAATACATGTTGAATCCTTTACCTCACACACCCAGTCTCTCACATTCTCCCTTCACAGTCTCTACCCATTTCACCCTTTTAAAAGTGTGAAAAGATCCATAACTCTTTGTTTGGATTAGGGTTGGAAGCTTCATCTCTGTGAACTCTGTTAAAAATCTATTACTGCTCAGAGCAGGGTTAGGAGATTATTTCTGTGAGCATCTGACATTATTCTTGAATGTGTTCTGGTGCCAGACACACAATGGAAACGCATTAGGAGAGAATTTCATTTTAGATTTCCTTATTGACAACAGTATGAGCTGTAGTCTTGAACCTTTATCACGAGGCTGCATAATCCAGTAACCTCCAGACAGATCCATCTTCACCTGAGCCACAGCACAAAACTGCTAAAATATTAAAATTCATCTATAGAAGTGCACAGATTCCTCTTAGAGCTTATTTCAGTGCTTATGTTTCTAGGGTGATTTATTTAGCTTCAAAATATTAATTAAGACGTGATATTAATTATAGATAATTATAACTATGTCCAGTGACAGCCAAAATAAAAAAGGGATGCAGTTGATCATTGTAGAAAGCAAACAACTTTCTACAATGAGTGGATGTGGAGTTATTCATGTTGAATAGTCATTTGTAAGTCCTGCTCCTTGAAAAAATAATTAGTCTAAATGCAAAGCTCATACACAGGCAGACCAAACGCTGCATATCATCTGCTGGATTCAATATATTGGCCATTAACAGAGAGGAGCATCAACAAACAAGACATTTAATAGATTTTTTGGAGCATCTGTGTGTTTGGGGTGGAAGATTTGTTATCGCTACTTAGTAGACTCTCTGGCTCCCAATTGCCTTGTTTTCTGGTGATTTCCATCACCGTGGAACACCGAGAGAGCGGGAGAGATGAAACGTGGGGAGGGGGGCTAATGATGTAAAATGCATTAGAAACAGGCAGATGGTGTTCCCAAGCAACAGACAAAGCCCCCTCTGCTGACACATTAGAGTCGGTTATTAGCCTGCAATGACAAACTGGTTTGTTTTCCATGTCTTTTGCACAACTTTCATCCCTCTCTTAATGGTGGGCTGCTGCCATCTCCAGATAGGAGAGTCAATGGGACGACCACAGAGGAGGAGACTGAATGCACCGAGCTCTGTCTGTCTTCAATTATAATATGTCTAAACCATTTGATTACATTTACTAATTAATTAACACAAAAACGTATTTTTGTATACTGCATTTCAATGTTATAGACGTATAATAAAAATGACTTTACTTAAGAGTTTTGCCTTTTGTTGAGAGTAGCGTATACTTGTTTGTTCCTTGTTCTTTAATTTTAAGGCTATCATTGTGTTGGACTGTATTGTACTAAAATGGTGCTCGTAGTATCTTGTTAACCTCATTTATATAAAAAAAAAAAAGCAGAAACTTGATAATCAACTCGTCTCATCGCAAAAATTGCAATATTATTTAAGCCCGTTGTGTTCATGAAATAAGAGTACGATTTCTACCAAAGAAAAGTTTGCAGAACCATCTGCTGTGAATTGTTGAATAAATCGGCACTATGTAAACCTTGCCGAAAGATTATTATCAAGAACACAATATTCAAATATTTTTGAAATGACAAAATCCAAGTTGAAGTGGCAAACAAAATGCTTTTTATAATAAAAGCTGCTGAAGGCACTGCTCGTCCAACACAACCATCTTCCTGAGATCACCTCCTATGTTCTCCGAGTACTCACCAGGCTCCAGGTCCAGCTGACAGAGGTATTGGGAGGTGCTGAGGGTGACCACCACCACACGGTGCCTGAGGATGTCCTCCTTTGTGGGCATCTGGAAAGTCATGTGTGTGTTGGAGATGAGACAGTACTGCTGGACCAATGGGTTCACCGTCTTCACCCAGCGGTTCCTGAAGTATACCCTGGAGAGAGAACGAAAGGACAAACGTCAGCAGAGAGAAACAACCAAAAGAGGACAACATCAATTACTTCACAGGTCTGATGTACGCCGCCCTTAACACCTGCATTGTAAATTAAATTAACAGTTATTCTTAATTTTAATTAAAAAACATTGTTTAAATAATTCAAAACATTGTTTGAAAGAGTCATGTTTAATGTGCTACACCAAGCTTTAACTAGTTAACTAAGCATGTATCTACATTCCCAAATGACATAGCACTATAGTCTATAAATAGATCACATTGAGATCAATGTTATGGTGCGAACAACTTTAGAAACATCTAAAATGTCTGATAATAACTCTCATTCTGGCATCAATGTATTTTATTCTGTTATGCTTCACTCCAAAGAAGGCCAACTATAAAGTATTGAATATTTGCCAGCCAAAAAGGCTCATAATAAAAGTCAATAAATGTGCTATTTTAGGTGGAATACTCTTCCTTTTAGGAGTAAAACAAAATGTTATGCATGGCTGCATACAACAGTCCTGTTCCACATATTGTTACTAATTATTATAGTGTCCACTCATCCCACATGCGACCAGTGGGAGCTGAGAGAGGAGTTTGCTACAGTGATAATGGGGAATCCATTGAACTCAGAAGGCCCAGTCATGTGAAACAAGTCATTCGATTGCCCGTGTGGTCCCTAAGCTCACAGACACACAGCTGTCTCATCAGGCCCTGGCTGGTCAGCGTCTTGCTCTCCTGTCCTTTGTGACCTCTGGGCTTGCTGAAATGTGATTAGAAATCACTGAAGCAGCGTAAGGACGTTTTGTGTGTCTGTGACCGAGTGTCTGAAGCCTCCATGTGGAGTTCTTGGGGTCACATCTCTGAAGCAAGAAAATGTGCGACACTGCTTTGGGGCAAAGCAGCCCAGCCACTAAACGATCTCTGCATCATGTGGATGGATTAGGCTTTCAAATAATGGTAATCCAGTTCATGATTAGACGAGTGAGTGTCAGCAATTTAAGGGAGGGATATTGTTTTCTTATTTATAGAATGAACCAAATACTGGTAGTAGTATTACTGGTATAAATCTACTTTACACACCAAAGAACTGAGCAGATCACTGGCTATAAATGGCTCATAATGACAAACTATTAGTGCATTAAGGAATTACAATATATGTCTAATTTCAAGATAAAAGTGTGCTTTAGGGGCTGTAGACCTAAAACATGCAACAAGTTGTGTATTTTAACGGGATGGGGTGTTTATTTTTGTCAACTGTAAGTAAGTTGTGGTCTCAGTAGCATTACATTATAAACCATGAAATTGTGGCCCAGTAGTACGAAATAATAAGCTAACCGTAAGGACATAAGATACATCTAAATATAAATGAACTGCTGCCTGCAGATGACATACAAATACAGTCAGACAGAACATGTAGGTTCAAAATGTATCTTAATAAGTGTAATGTTTGCTTTAAGGCACTGATTTGTGTTTTAACTGATGTGCACACACAGATCACATAAAGCACGTTTCTGCCCTTAGCCGTCACATATTTTCAAGTAAGTGTGCTTCCATACCTGAGAGGTCTGGCATGCGGATTGCCTGCATCGACGTAAGGATGAAGGTAGTCCTTGATGTAAAGGTCGGCCGCACTGTTGGAGTGGGTGCAGATCAGGACCCTGAAGAGACAAAAGATAAACAATGTCAGACGCAAAGCTTAAATCGGTGCATTTAACCTGCCATTATGGGCTGTTTCCCCCTGTAGTTTCAGACTGGAAAACTTGTCAGTCATCACATCAATGTATTTTATAGTGTTTCAATGTTTTTGAATTTATCTCCGATTGCATTGACCCAAACATATTAACAAAGACATGCTCTGCAGCTCAACAAGAAATACAAAATTCCTTCATATGTATTTTGTATATTCGCTTTATGCACCATGTCGATTTAGAGCAGGAACTTTAAGCTTACAAATTGTAAAGGGACAGCGAGGCCATGGGTGTACTCATTAAAATTGAGAAAACTGTTTTTCGTAGTTACCCATTTCAAGACATCACAGTGACAGATATGCAGAGAAAAAAAGGTATAGAACATGTACAATAACACAAATTGACGAGCATCTATACAGCATCAGAATCAGAATACCTTTATTAGTCCCACAGAGGGGAAATTTGCATCGTTACAGCAGGAAAAAGCCACAGAGAGCTTAATGTTACCTATGTTAAGAAAAAAGTTAAAATATAATAGAAAAAATAAAAGTAAAAGAAAAAATACTTTCCAAAATACAAATCCTGTAACAGTTCTTAGAATTTAGCAGGCAGGTATATATTACACAGTTATTAATGGCTTATGTATATAATGTAATGTATATATTGCACATATTGCACATAGTATGATGGTATTTAACTGCAGCAAGTTACACAATTTACAAGATACAAAATGCAAAAAAACACAACTTCTTCATCACTTTAACAGTTTGAAGTGCATGCAGCACGGCTCCAGAGGGGTCACTTATCCTAGTCTTGGCTTTTAAAATATCTATAATTCATCCTAAAGACAGAATATCAAATGTATTCAAAGCTAAATGAAGGAATATGACATTGCTTCACGCAGTTTTTCCTTTTACATTACATATATACAAGCCTGCCTCCCTTATTATTTAAACAAAAAATGTTAGCTTCTGTTCAGAGGACACTGTCCTAGGTATTGCATTCATGTTTCATTGAAACCAGGGAACCATTTATGAGCTTGTGCTATATGGCTTCACTTTCAACAAAAGAAATGGCAGAATTTCCTCACACACAGTGGGTGTTTCTCAATCGCGAGTACGCTTGCTTGGTAGCACATGTCTGCCGAGCATCTTGCTTCAGAAGCGAGTCAAGAATACTTCCTGCCATTCGGAAAACGAAGTGTGGAACAGGCTAGCAAGTGTGCAGGTGTGCGTCATATGAGAGGCCCCGCCTTACATCTTCCGCCACAGATTTGGGGAAATTGGTCCGTGCGCAAAGCATTGTGGGGATTTTAAGACCGCGGAGTCTACTCATGTGCAGCCTCGATATTTCTCCAAACGGAGTACGCCGGGCTCGGTAGATTTCCAAGTATGCTGGAGATTGGAACAGTACTTCGGCGGCACTCGATGACGTAGTATGCTTGAAATAGTGGCTCTGAAGCAGCTTTACTCGCGATTGAGAAACACCCACTGAGAGCGCCAACTAATGATGAAAAATTAAAATGGAAGAAAACCTTGCACTTTCATTTTGTTTCACAACACTGCGTGGCTCACTTAAGGACATAACTTGATTGATCAGATTATGGTTTAAATGGAAATACATTCCGGCCCAAGAACTGCATTGATAATCAAACTAACCATGTGCATCCACCACAAATTACACACATTCATCCAAATGACCAGCACTCATTGTCCTCCAGGGATCACCCCCACACACACACACACACACACACACACACACACACACACACACACACACACACACACACACACACACACACACACACACACACACACACACACACACACACACACACACACACACACACACACACACACACACACACACACACACACACACACACACACACACACACACACACACACACACACACACACACACACACACACACACACACACACACACACACACACACACACACACACACACACACACACACACACACACACACACACACACACACACACACACACACACACACACACACACACACACACACAACACACACACACACACACACACCCACACACACACACACACACACACACACACACACACACACACACACACACACACACACACACACACACACACACACACACACACACACACACACACACACACACACACACACACACACACACACACACACACACACACACACACACACACACACACACACACACACACACACACACACACACACACACACACACACACCAACACACACACACACACACACAGCTTGACACTTCAGTGATTTCTTGATCTTTAATGTCAAACCCAAGGCTGCAGCCGCCGCTGCCCTGGAGCTAAATCTGAAACCGATGCACAGTATGCAATATTGATCACGCCCTCTGACTGACCTCCCCTGGCCTCTAAAGAAACTCTGAAAGATGCCAAATGTATGCACACATCTACATTACCTTCTCCTTCCCTCAAAATACTCCATCACATTGTAGCATCTATTATTTCACAGAGAGTGTTATAACATAGGGACTGTGCGTAGTGTACAAGTTCAAAGATTGAGGCACGAGACATCCAGGTTGCGGATTAAATGCCAAGATGGCTAAAGGGTAGTTTAATAACATAAAATCAGCAATGTTTAAAACATGCAAGGTTGTAACACTAATGAATTGTGCTATAGTTTACTGTGAGGTGTGAGATAATATGATATAATCTTCAAGACACTAGGATTTATTGTATGATTGTTTTAGACATACTTGTAGTGTGCCCAATAAACTGGCAAGTGAGAGTATATTAACGAGCTCATGGGAACATTTTGATTGCGTATAGCAAATATAAATCTGAGAGAAAGGTGATGTTTGTCAATATCAAAGACTGAACATTTTCTTCACAGGTACTGAGTTTCCTAACACTAAAACTGAAAGCCCTTCAACATGTGAAGACACTCTAAATGACTGTCTGTTTAACACCAGAAACCTTTTCGAGCTATCCGTGCTTATAATAAAAAAGCAATTCATAAAGTGGTGTAAGTATAAAAGTGATTTGCTTTCAGATCCAAAATATAAGAAAACCTTGATTTTCAGAGAAACCCACAATTTGTTACGCCTTCTTTTGGACAAAGACTTTTTTGATGATGAGAAGCAAGGTAGGGTGATATAAAGTATTTATCTATAAATGTTCTTGGGTTTAATTAAGAAAGCACATTATTCAATGCTAAAGGATGAAATAGAGAGAACAGGAGTCTAGAGTAGTATTGGAAGGTAATACATTGTTAACAAGGTGCACATTTCCTACTAACAAATGGGGGAAAAAAAGAAAAAAGCAACAGAGATTAAAATGTAAAACAAGAGCCCGTAAACAGACCTGCTATCGTCCTGGCGGAGGATGTGCTTGACAGCCTGGGCCAGGGTGAAGGTCTTGCCGGTGCCGTAGGGCCCGATGATGAGGATGGGGGGCAGTTGAATGGAGCACGGTGTGGTGATGGCCAGGATGGCCTCTTTCTGCTTGGCATTCAGACGGGGGTCCAGCTGCTCGTCCCACTGCCTAAAGGGCAAAGGGAGGATGGGGAAATTATTTGAGGAATCAAAATACGAAAAGTAGCCGTTTTCGTTCATTTAACTAAAATATTGCTTTATAAAAATACATATCAAGCATATGTAGCTTTGAACACAATGAGACATTCTGTCTATCTAATTAACCTCAGTGGGACAGAGATACGTGAGAAAGAAAAGATACTGCCCAAAAAGACAGGAAATATTGCACACACTCAAAATCAAAACTTAAATTGTGTCGCAAGAGAAGGGGGTGGTGGGTGGGGTGTTTGGGAATAATGTGGGTGGGTGGGATTAGACTGGGGGGAAAAGCTGTAGGGAGAAATAGTACAAGAAAGAAAATAGGAGAGAATAAAAGAGAGCAGGAAACAAAAGGAGTGTTAAGTGGGTAAGGAATGGAGGAGGTTGAACAAAAGTCATACTACTCAGTCCCTTAGCTTATGCATTTTGCATTGCATCAAAAACTAATAAATAGATAAACATAACCACATAAATACATGTACACATGTCAGATGATAGACAATAAACTGTGTGTAACGATCGCAGCCCTTACTGCCTGTTGGATACTTTAGCTAGAATTCCATAGTGAATGTTGTTTCATTGTATTATACAGTTGACTGCATTGTAGGTTTTACATTAGCACTATTAAATAAGACATGCTGACATGCACATAGGTCAGGACAACTCAAGTCCTGCGAGTGTGTATTTGCTGTTGAAGTAAGGAATCAAATGTATTTGTTTACATGTAACAAGCACCCACGTTTTTAATGAACAAACAGCCATGGTGGCGAAACTACAGACAGCGTGCCAACGCATTTCCTCATGAATGTGCAAAAGGCATGGGTAACATCCAAACACAGAAATGAGAAACACTTGTTCACCAATGTGGGTGTATGTGTCTTCAGTAATCTTCACTATACATAGATGGGTAGAAGAGAGAGATGCACACATGTGATACAGACTGTAGTATGTGTGTCTTCTCGCATTACTGTCCTCATTATGAAGACTGCATCCCCTAAAGCTGTGAATCCACCAACACCAACTGATTGAGCTCCAACTGCGACATAGCTGGGGGGCTTAGAGATATCGGATTGTGTGTGTGAGTTTATAACAGAGGTGGATGGATGAACTTAATGGGGTTCTATTACAAGAGAAAAAACCCTCAACTCTTATATGCCTACTTTACTTCTTTCACAAATGCGAAAGGAAGGCAGCATATCGGTGTCATAGCTCAACTTATTCAACTATCTCATGTCTTGTTCACATGTTAGGAAACTTGAGACATTACTATAATTAACAAAAACAACAAACATTTTATTTGTATTTACAGATTTGCGCAGTGAATGAATAACCACCATAAAGAAACTTTAAAAACTCAAAATTCAGGTAAATTAACACCTGGGCAAACATTATATGAAACAAATGATTGATCCAAATTCCAATTCAAACAAAAGTCCAGTTCAATCATATTCTGTAGACTAGATAAAGCAGCAATGTTATAATTCACAGGGGATTATATTTGGAGCGATTCGATAAAGATTACTCCTGTCCCGCTTCAGAGGAGAAATCTAAAGCTGCAAGGAGCTGCCAGCATTTCAGAATGGCCACCAAGTTAGAAAAACAAGGGATGTTCAGTCCACTCTCAAATGAATGTGGTGTCCTCTCTGTCAGGGTATTTGTCAAGCTAAAGTGATTTGCAGGTATTAAAGGAAGTCCTCTGAAATAGCACTTTAGGATTAGCAGCATTTCCTACAAACGAATGGGTGTGAACGCTGTAAAGATCTTCCCTCGTGTTTGAAATAATATCAAATCTAGAACTTTAATCCAATATGAATACAAATGTCATCTTCAATGCCACATAGACAGTCTGTCATGTGTGTAAATTAACATTTTATTGTGCCTTAATTCATTTGTATGTGAGATTTTTCCCAGATTTCTTATTAAATCAATAAATGAAGGCACTCGGGAGGTAACAACGATAATCAGAATAAAATATCAATGATTGCCTTGGATTAAAATATTTTTTGATCAGCCCTCAGCAGTGAAATGCCTGGTTGTGTAGATGGTGAACACACACCTGTTGGGGCTCCAGGGGATGGTGGGGTTAAGGGCGATGTCAGGGAAGAGGATGCCGTTATCTTTGATGCGATCCAGGGCATATTGCATCTCACAGAGCGGCAGTCTGTTCAGCTGGAACTGGAGCTCCACCTGACACAAAGACAAGACAGACAGTTTATTAAGCAAGCAATGTAAGACAAGCATTCAACCTATATCCATCGACAAGACAAGGATACCATTCTATAAGCAATTCAATCAAAGCCATTTTTTGTGTTGTATGATTTTGGATAAAATATATTAATGTTTGGTTTAACTCAGTCTCTTTAATGATTCATAAAGAACCCATATTCATTTAAAACACCACAAGTAATATGTGCAATATAACTATAAATAATGTTTGATTGCTATTAAAGGTAGGGTAGGTAAGAATGGAGAAACCAGCTCGAGTGCGCTAGAATTTGAAACTACGCAGCCGAAGAAAATCCACCCCTTCCTTCAGACTTCCTTACAGAGCCCCTCCTCCAACACACACGAACGCGCACATGACCAATGAGGGCACGAGATAAGTTTGTGCACAGATGGAAGGCTGACAGGCAGGTAGGCCATCCAGTTATTTTAGCCGGGCCGGCGCAGATAATTGGTCGTGCTTTTTACAGCGCTACGGCTTCCACAGATGACATTTTTGTATGTATTTATTGTCAAAGCATTTAATGTATTCATTGCTATCAGGATGTTAAGAGCATTCCATGGAATATAACAAAAAGTGTTTCTGAAGTGAATTACCTAACCCACCTTTAAGTACAAGCGCTCAAATTAGATATTTTTTTAAACCAAACAATCAAGACCACAATAGTGTCTTCTGACTGAAGTTCAATAATAATTTGGTTTATCACTTTTTTTGTTCAAATACATTTCTCTAGACCTTGAGTGATCCGACCTATACAACATTTCATTGTGTAGACATGAGTAAAAAGGCCTACATGTATATCCACCTGTCGATATCTTTTAACCTTGTTTTCTCGGGAAGCCGTGGTCCATTTACATTTATACTCAACTCCTTTGCTTACACTAGTTTGATGTAACCACTAAGATGTTTTTTTACTGCTACTGATAAAGGGCCTCTTTTTCTTACAAACAGAGACGTATTACTAACAGGTATACTTTAAATGATGCAATGCCTTAAGGATACGAGTGTAAAAATCAGAAGTTGAGAAGGAAAAACAAACTAGCGATAAAAAGCGTGAAAACAGTCAGGAGGAGAGTGGGGAGGAGCAAGAAAGCAAGAAGGGGAAATACAATATGAACACAAGAGCAGGAAAGTGTGAGATATGCAAGAGGAGCATAAAACATCAAGGCTATGTGAAAATATTGTAAGAGCCCATAGAGGAGATGGGGAAAGGAAATTGAAGCACGTAAAGAAGGTAGGATCAGCGTCACATGGAAGATGATGCTCCCACAGAGACAGGATGAGGATAGATATGATGACTGTTAACACGTCTGCCAATGTTCCGGCTAGAGGGGGAAATAGATCAAGATGATGCTGCTGAAGTTACAGTCACTCAATACATTTGGAGATTTCTCATAAAATGGGATCCTGACATGAGATTTGCCATCAAAGCGCACACTGGAACAGACAGGTTTTCCCCAAAAACAGTCCTTAAAAGTACTGTAACCTCTTTTTAAAATGCTGATCAACAAGTGATCCTTTACATCTCATAAATATTTTGAGGGCCAAGAAATTCAGAGATTCTTGCCCAATAACATCTCTTAGGGTGTTCACCAAATGCCATGTGTTAAAGCCATCATGAGCATGCCCTTTCCACTGTGACAGCAGTACAGCCTCATGCTTTAGCACTTCTGTGCGCCTGCTTGTCCCTTGCTGCAGACCATACCTGTAATTCTCTGTCCGGCAGTAGCCCAAGCTCTTCCACACAGTTCTTGCAGATCCTCAGGAAGATGTAGTCCTTGGTCTTCTCCTCAATCACAGCCTCGTAAACACGCTCTTTCACCCCGGGGGGCGGATGGTTGCTGTACCCATCACGGGCTAACGGCAGCACGAGGACTGAATTCACCTTGGTCATCACTAGCCGTCCAGCCAATGTGTCCTGAGGTAAGAAAAAAGACAATGTTACTTTAAGGCTAAAAAGTTACAGTAATTAAACGTGATCAAACAGAAAACCGTGTTGATAATAACAATCGACAACTTAACCAGTTCAGTTACCTCAGAGAGTGTTTCAGTGAGTTTGAAGCGTGCAAAGAGCTGTCCATTCTGGGCATACTTGGCTCCAACAGAGATGCCCGTCAGCATGAAGCTGGTGACTAGCTGGAGATTCACCTTGATGTTAAACCTGGAGGGACACACATGGATATTTGGTTATGATGTTGTAGATGTTTAGCTAATACATCAAAGTAAACATTATAGCAATCAGGTTAATGTTCTGTGGTATGTTATTGACATACTAGTCCCAGTATCACATGTTCTCCTGTGACAGAGGCAAATGTGTATCCTTCCTTTAATGTGGACCTTCTAACCCTGTAAAGGTTCAGTCTTATGCACACATACATAATTCTACATTTAAATATTCACACTGCACTGCAGGCATGATCTTTATTCTCGTAAAGAGAAGCTGGTCTAGACTTATTAAATAATAGTCAGTGCATCAAGCAGTGCCTTTAACTGAGTAGGCGTCGTCAAGGTGATTAGCAATGACTAATAAGTAACAGTTAAATGGTTTTAGCCTCCCTTTTGTTCTTTAACAGTTTAGTATGTAAATGTATACCACACAACAACCCTAGATACAGCCATTAAAAATATATGATAAACAGATCATGATCCTGTCACCTTTGTAATGAATCATGTATGCAAGCCTCAGGCATGTGTGTATGTTCTGAGTGTTGACTCAACACAGAGACCCCTTAAGGACCTGCAGACCATTTACTGATATTATCATCACACACATTAAACATCAGCTGTATTGTATTGTTGAGCAGAGAGATGATCACTTTGTAGCTGGGCCTAACGTATTTGCAGGTTTGTGCATTTGCCATTGTAAAGCAAAGACAAAGTAAACATCCAAACAAACATATTTTCTTTAAATGTGTAAAAGGCTTAAAAAAAGAAATCAGTGGGGAACCTTAAATGACAGACAAATTATTTGATTATTATTATTTTAAGTCCTTCAAAAACAACCAGTAGCATAAAGCATGTCCAAGCACTTTTTGGGTCTTTCAGTTCAAGATTGTATTACATTGCCTATCTGCTGTGAAATGAAGTGATGAAATAGAAAGCAATATTGGTGATAAACTGTGATGGATGATTGACATACGCAGATCAGTGAACATATTCTGTACTGGACTCTTGAGGTTTTTTGGTATGGTTTTGCATCAGCGTTCTGGCTATACTATCTCTACAGCAGGAAACAGGTTAGAGACAGCAAGACATTTTGAACATGGGGTGAGTAATGGAGGACCACTTTAGATAATCAAGTGATGCTTCATGACCATGACGCATTGAGCAGGAAATAAATCTAGTGTGAGATTATTCAGAGAGATATTATAATTGGGGTTTATTTTAAGTCATAGGTTGCACAACCTTAGTACTCCAATGAAAGGAATCCACTCCTAACCCTGAGATCAGCCATGAGAAGCCTTAGAGCCAACCAGGACATGGACGTATTAGTAGGCAGTGAGATTATTCATATGCACACTGGAAATTAATTGGATTGAAATAACATTTTACACAGCAGGTGAGTGTTACTCCTTACAAAGCCAAATGACGCCATAAGTCATGAGTAAAAGATCAAACTGTGAACAAAAAAGAGAGCTGAGACATTTGAAGTGGTGGGGGAGGGTCCACTGTGCTCGCATAAACCAGTGGAGCGGCAGGTATGGAATAACAATCGTCTATTCTAGAGGAAAAAAAACACTATTTTCCACACAAAGGAATTATCTTAGATAAGCGTTATTAAATTAAACTGACACTTTGAGTCCAGCTGTGTGTGATTTACATACGCTCTCTCTCTCTCTCTCTCTCTCTCTAATGCACACAGCAAATTCACAAGAAAGGTTGAGTCTGACATCTTGTGGTGGGTTCACATAACATAAAAAGAAACTCATAATGTATTGGTGGTTAACCAATAAATGATTTTTCATGTTCTAGGGACTATAAACAAGCTTTGGTTTTGGTTTGTTACAACATTTTAAATCGTTTACAAGATACAAATTATATATACATATACAACAGACTTTGTCTCGGAAATTAAAAGTCGTAGAGTTGCTTCCATCGGTGGAGAATGAGGATCTGGTATGATTACCTACTGGATAACATTTATATCACCAAGCAGGCTCTAACTGAACTTACACTGTTATCATCTTATTAAAGCAGTTTACAGTAAACTCATAATCATTTTTAATGACCTTGCTTCCACTGCGTAAGGAATTCAACATCAATTTGTTTTGCCGGTTTTATTATTTATTCCCGAGATATCAAATATTATTCAGATGTATTATGTACTCTTGTGAAAAACCCATTTGACTATCCCGGTAGGAAGAAACCATAGAAACGTGTATACTCACTTGCTAACTTCCTTATACTGTGCAATCTCTTCAATGTAGAGCAGGTCATGCAGCCGGGCCTGGTAGTTTTCTTTGGTCAGAGTCTTGTCCAGGACTGACTGGGTGAAGAGCTGGTCGGCCGACAGAGGGATCTGATATCTGGAGAGGAGGCTGCGCTCCAGGTCTGCCATCGTCTCATTAGGAACAAATTCTACGATGGTCTTACAGGAGGGGTCCCAGCGCTTCGTAGTGGTCAAGAGCTGCTGCCTGGCTGCCTGCAGATGTTCCAGGTCTGAAAACAAAATGGATATTTAGATGTTTTGGTGCATCCAGTACAAATTAACATACTGAAAGGACTAGAAGGTTATTGACAGTTTTATTACTGTAGCAACTTGTTTTAACCAATTGAAATACCTATTCAAATGTGATTAGAAAACTATCTACAAGTTGACACCAATGTAAAGAACCGTTGTCTGAATAGATACCATTTTATTCAAAAGTACTTTAATTCATTTTATATAAATCAGGAAAGCTTTCTAATGACTCTGCCATGAGCTTATTGCCTTTAGCTTACCTTCAATCGAGGCAGCATCCACCATGATTCGCTTCATCAGCACAGGTTCTGAGCCGAAGTCAAAAACAGCGGTCTGTCGGAAGGTACCGAAGATTTCTGTGCTGAAGCCCACCGTTATCTTGTAGATACAATGGTCCAGGCCATTGTCTGGCGCCACTGTAACAACAGAATCGTTTAGTGTAAATACATTTAAAATTGTGTTGAAGACACACACAAAAAAGACTGTTACTGTAACGTTAATAAGCCAGTACATACCTGCTGTTTCCTCTCCTGGGGTCCACTCTTGGCAGCCTTTGGGGAGGGTCTGCAGCCGCTCCTCAGATGAGACCCCTGTGATGAAGAAGTGCGGCCGGTGGGCATCGTAGAGCAGGGCGATGCGGAACAGCTTTCTAGCCGGCTAGTCAAGGAGACGGAGATAAAAAAGACAAACAAACAAACGATGCTTAGGACCAACAACTAGCACTGGCATGTTGCCTTGTGTTCAGTGTTGTACTGATACATGACCTGGTTAAACACTTGGATCTGTACATAGTTGGTGTTAAACATATCATCGTACCTTGCACAAGAACGAGAAGGTCCAGGAGTGGGCAGATTTTTTGGCGGCAACAGTAACAGAGAGGCTGGAGCTGGTTTCTACAGCCACTCCGTCTAAATAGTCACTTAGCTAGGAAAGAAAAACAAAGACAAGTGGTTACAATTAAGTTCACTGCTCTACATGCACATATCACATACTGTATACCTCAAAGATCAAGGTGTAGGGGTGGTTAGTTTTATAAATGCTTATGAATGGGCCTCCTTCAATAATCACAGCTTAAGAAAATAATAACTATGTTAGCTTGTCTGGTTCGGATTCAAAAGACTGCCCGGACAGGGGTTAACATAGTTTATTATTGCTGTGCAAATATGGGATACTCAAATTCTTACGTTATAAAATAATAATATGCAAATATATATTTAACAGTAAAGCAGAACTACCCCATTAGACTTACAAAGGTGAGGCTTCTAACAAAATCACTACACAACACCATACACATGTTTGTGTTAGGGGGGCTTATAAGGAAGTGAACGGCATGGATTTGCATCGTATTTTCTTGTTTTCTATCCATTGACCTTTTTTTGATCTCGCATGCACTCACCACTTTCTCTGGGCTGAGGGAATTCATCCACTTCTCTATCAGGTTCTCCATGTAGTTCTCTGTGAAGTGTTTGCTCTCCTGATGCTGTTTGAGGCGGATGAGGCGTGACGCATAACGCTTCTGCCACTCCATCAGCTCCTCCTGAGAGTGGGCTGACGTACACTGGGCCCCGTACCGACACAGACCCTGCTCCAAGTACCTACAGCAAAGACAAAGTGAGTGTTCAACTGCTGCTGACAAGTAGTCAACTAAAAAAAAAACATATCTCTGAGAATTACAACTAATTGTTTTACGTCATGAAAACACAAAGAATACATTTTTGGAAGTTATAAGTTTCCCAGAAATGTGAGGATTTGCTACATTTCATCTTTCATTTTCATCTTGCACTAATTCCCAAAGATATTGACATTGAAGTGACTGTTATTTTGTATATATTGATTGTTGTGTGTTTTATCTTAATGTGTGCATATGTGTAAATGTGTCTGTTGATTGTGTATATAGGATATACATATCTGTATATTGTATAATTGTATTTTTCTATTCGGGATTGTTGGAAACGTCATTTGGATCTCTGTCTGTACACACAAACTGAAAGATTGAAATTAAAGTTGACTTTTTTTATATTAAACAAAAACAGCAATTTTTTGGCCAGCATTTTACATTTGTTTTAATAAACAACATATACTGTAAAGAACAAGCCAGTTTGCATTACCTTTTACAGAGGGTGTACTCCTCACTGCTGGTGACTCCTCGGGGAGGAGGTCGGAATTGCCAGCCTTCTTGGACCTCTGTGAAAACACACAGCTAAGTGGTCAATATAACACTTAGCCAAGCCAAAGAAAAACATTAAACACAAAAAACCTTGTAAACTGACTATCAGCCAGCTTGTAACCTGTTAAGAGTCAGTTGCAAATCTGCCAACTGGCTTATTAAAGACTTTCTAAACATAAATAATGTTATGTTCCAAGTCTTTGGTGTCTTTGGTACCAGGTATATTGTCAGTTTCGGGAAGTATTGAAAATGACCCATGCTACTGATTTGCTCACCTTCCTCCTGGTCCCCTGTGTATTCTGGTGCCATCTCCCCGTTTATAGACTGACAAGGACAAAGATTGGGCAGAGTGGGTGGAGGTTGGGACAGAAAAAGTATTATTATTAGTTGTACATCACCTGTTAAAAGACAGACCAACAGTAAGGCAGCTTGCAACCAGATGAAGACACTTACCTCTACTTCTGAGAAGAGCATTTTTAATCTGGAAAGGTCTTTTGCAACAATGCCATTCTGTTTGAGAAAGGAGAAAAGCATTTTCATTACAACACACTTTATTTTTTAAATAAATGTTATGATCACTATAAAACAAATGACTTTGTATAAGCTGGCAAAGGTTGTTTGGTGTAATCACATTTATATTGTCCTTTTCAAGTATCTACAGGCAAGATGTAAATCCATCACCATCCATTTATTGCTTACTAAGGACTTTATCATTCAAAAATTAATATTGGTGGATTTTTCATTAAGACTTTATTTATAAAAAAAAAAAGAGGCAATAATGAAGATGTTTATGTACTTTTCTTGGTGTTGAGATGGTTTTTAATTTTGAATGTTGAAGAACATGATGATAAGGCAACACATTTTGCTATGTTTATAAATGTCATTTTCTTAAATGTTTTATGTGAGGGACTACGGATGGAAAGTAGCTCAAAGCTAAATCCGGCATATTTACGCTTGACACATTCATTGTTTTAAGTGTTCATTAATGTGCAATGTCCCTGCCAAATAAACGATTAAAATAAATTAAAAAAACATAGAAGATATGACCTTTTAGAAAAAATAAATAAAAAACAGTTTTCAGGCTAATCCAAATAGTTTATGCATCACAGCTGAGTAAGTTAGTATTGATAAGGTTTCGAACTAATGTTGGATGACTATGAGGCCTACTAAAGACATTTGAAAACTAATTGCTAAAATAAAGTGAGGTGTTATTCACTTGTGAAAGTGTTACTTTGTGGATATAACAGGGTGACTTTTTTGTTTCCCCATTTTCTCCTAGCTGACTTCTCCTCTTTTTGCTAAACCTAGCCAATGTCTTTATAAATCAACATGTATTTTGCTGCCAAGGTGCCTCCCTCAGCTCCACTCTGCTCCTGTTTTCAACCACTTCCTGCCCACTGCCACGCAGACACACACACACACACTCAAAGGTTGAGTTTGGCAACAAGGTCCTCCAACATTCTGCGTGGACAATCCTGTCTCTCTCTCTCCCTCAAAAACAAACATTTTCCTGACATAGATTGGGCTTGTTTTCTCATGTGATAGCACCCCTCTTTTTACTTCCACTTTTAACACATCAGATTATAACACTGTCTTGGTCTTCCCTCAACTAATCCTGCTTTTATTTTTGTATTTTAATGTGGTAAATTGGCACTACACACTGTAGAGCAGGGGTGGGGAACCTCCGGCCTCCGGGCCGTATACGGACCGCGAGACCATTTGGTACGGCCCTCGAGGTAATTTATAAACACACGCAAAAAAATAAAAGATTAAAGAAATCTAGACCGCAAAAGAATGAAACAAGCGAGTGCCTGTTTTTCCTGGCCAAGGTCCTTGAACACAACACGAGCCTAACGTGTCATCACGTGGTATATGTCTCGTCTGACAGGGGTGCAGTTCTGCCGGAGAGCACCAGAACACCGCTCCGGCACTTCAGAAATGTCAGTACCCATAAGGAGCCGTACACATGCCGCAGTTTTTGCGTGGCTGTGTCTTTAGTTGAAAGCCCAGTGGCGATCTGTTCATCTGTCATACTGATCATACAGTCAATAACTTTGTTGTTATTAGCATCTGGTTAGCTAGCTATGCTAACGAATATAAGAAGCTTATTCTACAACCAGTGAGGTAAAGGCACATCTTTATATGATCATTATAAAACAATAAGAGAATAAAGAAAACAGGTATAAAATACTATATGACAGTAAAAAAAAGTTGTTATTAATAAACAAGAATACAGTTTAAAAGGAGAGTGATTTGTAAAATATCCATAAAGAAAAAGAAAATCTGCTTCCAGTTCTGTTTCATATGGATGTTGAGAGGTGTATCCATAGATCGCCTAATGTTGCTCTCAAAGTGCACCAGATTGATGCTTTTAACTTCAACATTTAAAAACAAATCTTCCCGGGGGAGCATGCCTAGAGGAGGTTAGGTCCCCCCCCCACTTAAATCATGTTCACATAGATAGGAAACTAAATACATTTGCACATATCTTGTGTCCAATATACTTTCTGTTTTGGTGGTCATGCCACACCGTGCACGTGCACGCATGCATGCGCGAGTCATGGTAAGATATCTGGATTAAGAGGTTGCTTTTTCTTTGCACAACATGAAAGAAAGGTGAAATGAATGGGCTGTGATTTTAGTATTTTTAAGCAGAGGTCAATAATTTGTACGGCCCTCGGAGGATGTTGAAAAAATTGAAATGTCCCTTGAGAGGAAAAAGGTTCCCCACCCCTGCTGTAGAGTTTAGCTGTCCTATGTGTCACGCAAGTGTGTTGTCATTTGATACACAGCACTTAGGCTGCAGGCACCTGCCAACAGTTTTTCCTAGGTCTAATTCAATCAATGAGTGACCCTTTTATTTAAATATCCATAGCTTTCTATTTTTGCTTGTTCTAAATGTATCAGATTACTCAAATCAGGTACATGTATAGAAAATTAAAAACAAGACCAGATAAGATCTGCTGGGATCTTTAATCGAGGAGGTGTCACAGGAGCTCATTTAGAGTAGGGTCAGTCAATAAGGAAAAATAGGCCCTATAGAGTGGTGCAGGAACGAGTCCTAAAACCCGTAAGTGAGTTAGCATTTTACCACTTCCAGTTCCCTCGTCTCATGCCCCTTTCACACCGGCGCTTTTCCAGCTCCTGCTCGGAGCTGGAGCTGGAAAAAGCGCCGGTTTTTCCTGTTCACACCGCAGCGGCGGCGCGTCATAGCTCCGGAATGCGGTTCACTTCCAGCTCCAAAAAATTGTCGGTCCAGAGGCAAGAGCTTCGGAGCTATGACGCGGCGTCGCTTACGTCTCTTACGTCGAGGCGTGCAGGAAACCTTACTTTGACCATCCGTTCGCTGTTATTGATCATTGTGGAGAGCAGGCAGACGTTTTGTTTGTTATTATAGCAGCTATCGGATGGAATTAATACATGGGCTGCACAGGTTGTCATGTCCGACTATCACAAGTAGAATCATAATGAAAAATACGCCGGTAAAATGTGCCTGTAGAAAACTGCTTAGCAAGTAGTCAGTTTAGCTTCGGTTGCTATGCTAACGTCACCCATGTTATACCAGAGAAACTTTCATAACAGCGTTGTGATGCCAAACAGCGTCAATTCAGACTGACACACATTCACTTAAGGGGAACTGGGGATATGTATCAGCTGCTTGTGTGACAGTCAGACAGTGAATACTTTAGAGCCGTGTGAGCTAACCCGGAGCTAACGGGAGAATAAACTCCCGTTGAAGAGCAGCCAGCACTGCAGCGGTCGGTAAATGCCGCTGAAACACATTAATAAACAATGAACCACGGCACTCTGGAGAAAAGTATAAGGTTGGAGAAGTCGTTATTTAATTTAATCTGGCTTCGTATGATTAAAAGCAACACGATCATCGACCCGATGCAGTCCCCGGCCCGTTGTTGTTGTGGGAGGAAATCAGCGATGTAAACGGTGACGTCATGACGCAGCAGCGGCAGCTCTGGGCGATGTGAACAGAGCGGGAGCTGAAAAGGGAAACCGGAGCTGAACCAGAAAAGCTCTCGCTAGGAGCTAGAAAGGGAAAAGCGCTGGTGTGAAAGCCGCATCAGAGTCAATGGGTTTTTTTAACTAGTTTTTGGAAAATAGCTGGAAATAAGGTCTGTGGTTGACACAAATTTAAGAGACGGATCACGTTTTGTTCTACGACATTAAATACATCAGCAGTGACCCCACTGGTGATTTTGAAGAGTTTACCTGTCTGAAAAACGATGGTTGTTAACAAGTGGCCGAATAGGACTACAGAAGTTGTCGAGGACGTTGTACGTCTTTACGCCGAACACGTAAACACTCCCGGTAAGTTTGTTTGCCCCTGTTCTGCTTGAAAGCAAGTACCTGCGCTCTTGCAAACTGTTAAAACAAATGCTTCAACTTATACAATTTTGAATCTGTATTTTTGAATATGGATCTTAAGTTGGCGTGACGTTGAAGTCGTGCGACCCTGCTGTACTCGGCTGTAGTTCCTTTATAGCATAACGTTAGCATTTTGCTTCTGGCGATTAGATTTATGATTCGAAAATTATAAAAGTAGGGTAGACGTGGAGATTATCCGGCTGAACAAAACGTGCATTTATCAAACAGGTTCATTTTCCACAGATCTTATTCTTTACAATATTCCAAAATCCTATGGAGAAATCCCATTGCTTTTTTGATGAGGGAACCCTTGCGCAGCTTACTTCCGGGTCGGCCTACAAAAATACATCATCACTGCAGCACTTAAACGTTATTAATGACATTCCTCCACTACCTTATTAAATGCTTTAAGGAAGCATTATCCAGATCTGTCCTTCAGAAGGGTGAGGAATGTATGACCTTAACAGGCATAATATTTTAGCTTTATGTGAATTTGGTAGTCCATTCTAATTACAGTCAATGTGTAGACCGACTGTATGCACATATTGTGTACATTGTCCATCAATCATACCATTGGCTCTCCATACAAGGCTTTGGAGAGGATGCTGGCCACCTCCTGCAGGCTGCCATCCAACAGCATGGAGCGCAAGCTGGCCTGTAGCGAACCGTCTCCTCTGGCCACCTCTTCTGCCAGAACTATGACAGGAGGAAGAATACACAGGGAACAGGTAGGGAGAGTTAATTCAGTACATTAGCTTAGGTCTGTTCTCTGAAACATTGAAGTAATTAAGCAATTACATTAACCTATAAACAGTCAAAATGTAAGATGTTTCCTGCTATGCTGACACTAAGGCATGTTAGAGGCTTCCCACTGGAAGACATACAAACACTTTGTCTGCCACTAGGTATAAAAAAAACTTTTAAAAAAACTGTACAGTATCAGCAGATGGTTCCAATCTGAATTGCCACTTACCATGTTTGCAGTCTTCATCTGCTTCATCATAATTTTTCTGTTGGCAGAAGGAGAAATAAAGGTTTAAGAAAGTAGTTACCATAACAAATGGGAATATTGTGTTGCAGGGTCCGAGCTTCACATAAGCTCCAAGAATGGCTATCTTTGCCTCACAACGGAGTCCCTCACACTATCATTATAGACTTAAGTAGTTTCCATAATCTTAGGGCTTAAGTAACTGGTGTAATTTTAGTGCTCGGGGAAGATAACATAACAGTCTCATGGAGGAAGAAAGTATGGTTTATTGTTCTCATTTCTTTCTCTTGATGATATTTTACCAAGTCATTAGAAGTACACTGCCATTAGAGTGTGATGACTCAATTTTAGGGAAAGGAGAAAATGTTATTGTTTCGCTGAAATGGAAGGTACCGTCTAGAAATTGGGATTTTTTTTTTTTATTCTCCAAGAACAGGGTTCCCCATCCCCCAACATAAATGTGGTTGACTGGTGCAATAGAAAATAAAAAAAGTAATTTCAGGGCCACAAAACTACATAGGAGGAAGGAAATCGGTGATCACTTAAGACTACAGCATGTATTGGAAGCCACTGTTCTTACCAGCTGCAAGAAGGCAGCAATTCGGAAGAGCAGGGCCCGGCTGCGCAGGGGTCCGGTGGCAGCCACTAGCGATGTAGGGCTCTGTGGGACAGGGGCACCCGAAGGTGGTGCTTGGGGTGCAAGGACCACCAGGGCGTCCGTGCTGTGGCTGACTGCCGCCTCGTACTCCCGCCTTGCTAACGATCTGCTTGCTTCTTCACATGACTTCTCCGCTCTCCTGTCCGCCATGACTCAGGGACAAAACTTCTGCAATCCAAAAAGAAATGCAGAATAATAAGAACATATTTTCTGGAGCCGGGATGATTAGAGAAAACAACCTTATCTGTGTATATTTGGCTGACAATATTTGGCTGTAAGCTATTTAAGGTGAAGGATGGGGTGCTTATCATCTTCAATGTTGTAGTGTAACACTGGGTTAGAGATTGTTTAAATGATTGCTGTACCGGACGAAAAGACTAAACTAACTTCCTTTCTGGGAAACTATTCAATTTGGCTTCATTAAAAGTGTATCAAAAGTTTGTAAATCGTAGACCCAAAACATTTGATTCTTCAAAAATGCCTTTCTTTTCCCTCCATGGCATTTGGCAGTGTTTCTTTTACAGTTTATTTGTAATGACCTCAAGCATGTTCACTGGCACAAGTACAAGAGTGGACATCCAAATACGTCAGATAACTATTGTGAATATTTGTAAGTGCATACATATCACGTTATCAAATATGAAATATAAAACTCCCCACAAACACACATGTTGTTGGAACACTTCCCATACATACTTAACATGTAAGACAAAGTTTCTATCCTTATTCTTGCATCTGACTGAAACGTAATATAATGTAAATAATACTTAGAGGCCTGGAGTCCCATTGTGTGTCATACTTATTAGCAAAAGAACACTTAGTTCAAGGTGGAATTTACAGGAAATGATCTTATAATAACTTAAATGTCCACATTTCCCCAAGCTGAGGATGAGGGAAATGTTGATAGGACGGGAGATCAGAGATATAGATGATGCTTTTAAATGTACATGTTCACATTGATGTTGATTTAATTTTCAATCAATCTTCAATTATAAAAGGAAATGTGTACACCCCTATATGAAGTATGTCAGGACCATGGATCTGGAGAATCATCTTTAAAATCCACATGCAATGTAAGTAAGTAAAGTACACTTATAATCTTGATTTCATTACATTATAATTATCTCATAAATCTAATTTATATTGAAATGTCACAAGTTACTTTATTATAATCTCGAGGACATTAAATGAAAGACACACAACACATCTAAAACCAAACACTATGCTATGTTTTGGGATAAGAATATTTCATTATTCCAGGAAGGAATATAAACTTGCAATATAAATCTTGCAATATAAATCTTTCTTTTATCATTGTAATTTAAATGTATATGGGTTTTAAACTGGTATAAAACAAGTTATTTGAAGAAATCTTTTTGCGCTCTGAGAAATAGTACTTTTTTCTACTCTGACGAAAATGGTGTTTTGAGGGTGATAGCATGCAATGTGGAAGTCAGCTCACCAAGAGTCATATCCTCATGTGGTTAATATGTTTCATAAATCAACAGGAAGAGAGGATGAGGCTCCCAGAGCCAACACTGTGTACATTCAAATACATCTGTAACCAGATGGGAAAGCAGTGATCACATGAGAAGCCTAAAGCATTTTTTGGGACTTTTTTTTTATCATCTCCATCACCAAAGCCAACCACCAGGGTCTGGTATCATCTGACTGCGTAGACTTAGTGCATTATAATAATTTATCATGTATGATGTGAAGCCTTTATTAAGACTAGTAGGTTGTGCTGGACAGTATGCAGAAGGAAATGGGTGCATTGTGACAATTCATAGCCACAGGGGCAAATGGTTAACACAAAATATATGGGAATAATAATATGGGAACACATGCCAATATACTGAATCTCTATTGTGGACTGTAATTCAGAGCATGTACTCTAGGCTCTAGGCAGCCTCTAACCCTAGGGTCCTCAAAGTTACTGTTTGATATTTTTTTGATAATTGTTGTTTTAAATATGTCTTAAAATAGACACAACGGCATCATGAACTAAACATTATTAGCAAAAATAAAACAGTCTATTTGTAAAAACACTTAAAATCATAGGAGCTAAATAACCAATGCAAAATAATAATTAACTCAGGTTTATTAGCATCATAAAAATGCATGTCTATACTTTAGGTTGCCCTCCAAGTTATTGTAGGCGCAGTTTAATATGCAACCAAATTTCATACATTTTTAAACAGTTTTTATACATGCCTGATAAACGTTGAAGATGTCTGGTGTAGAGAATTCATCATGCTCACATGCACCGGAGAGACTAGCATATTTAGGAACATAATGCAAACAGGTAAATACATTGAATCTCAACTTATGAATTAGACTGGCTTCAATTCATATTTAAATTGTGGATCCACACAAGAGTGTGTATATTACCTTCATGAGTGGGAGGATTTGTTTATCGCTTTCTTCTTAAAATGCCTACCAAGTTTTATGCATTCGACGCGTGGGTACCCTCACTTGGTCATGTAAGGCATTTAAAGTCAATTACTGTCAAAACAAACAAAAAAGAGCAAAGACAGGATAAGTAAAGGATTAGCTAAAGATATTAGACACATATTCTCAGTTTAGCAGATAGTCAAACACAAACATTGTTGATAATCAATGTATGCAGTGCAAAGAACAGCCATGTTGGATCAGCCGCATCCTCCGGATTGCATCTTCTGTGATCTTCATTTTGTTACAGGAGTACCGGTTACTGATTATTTAACAAATAAACATACACCGTAATTAAAGTGTGCGTTGTCTTTGTAGTTATTGCAAAATAAAGCTATTATTGCAATTTACTTTAGAATGCCCATCATGAGTCTCGATGGCACCAGCAACATTTCTTCAATGCCGAAACAGTCAACATAAAAGCAGCAGGCCAGGGCCACAGCATGATAATGTAAACCTCTCACTGAGATTACAAGAGGCAGCGTGCCCTTGTCACACCGACCAGCACAGATCTGGATAAGGATGGTACAGAATGACCTGCTGGGGAACATCAGGGCATCAAATGCTCAACCTTGGCCAATGGCTTAGTAACTTTTGGTTTCATTTGCACCCTACTGGTTTCAGCATTGGCATTTCAGTTTACCTCAGACTGGGAGAAATAAAACATTGAATCATAAAATGTGGCCACAAAAGCCTTATTTTTGTGATTATTGTGAACTAGCTTGCAAAACCAACTTTGGGTTCAAATTAAAATTCCAGAACAGTTAGCTGATGCTGAATTTCCATCCTGTCCCTCACCACCGTGTTAAAATCAGCTTTTAATTGTGACTGGCTCAAAAGAAACTGATTTTAATGTGAATTTGTGGCTCAGTAATTTGGGGTATATTTGTGACACCTAGTTATTTAATAGGCAGCAGACAGCTACTGTATGTTAAAGTAAAAAACATCAACAACCAGATGGCCCATTGTGGGAATTTTATATGCCAAACCAAATGCAAAAAAAGGCAAACACTGAGTACTTCTGCCACTAAAGCGTAATTTTGCAATAAATAGCAGTAAGTGTTTCATATAGTTAGGTTTTGAATACTGAGCAACAGGCAACTATGCTTGTAGCAGCTGACTTAGCCCAACAGGCAGTGACTCTGAATCAGCCTGTTCTTGTCCCTTAGGACCATAACATACAGATAAATTCTTTAGCGAATGTAAAATGTGTTGGCTGCATGCAGGACACAAACATGCATCAGCTGCATTTTGTTTTACAACAAATTACCACTTAGGCTAACAATAGGTAAAAAAACAAAAGATTGCACCACATGCAATATTATTTTATCCTCAAATACAATGTTACTGCACACAAATCTCCATCTCTTCAGAAAGACACTACACGAGTTTGTGCAAACTAAGCTTGGTTATATTGTGCTATATGTTGATATGTTATGCATAGGTTGTATGGCAATACAAAGCCACTGGCCAATTACAACAAATAGTGTTGCAGCACCCATACTGCAAAAACACACATAGCTTCTCTGGATAATCTTAAACAAGAAACACTGGTCGGGCCCTGCTCCCACAGGAGAGATGCATTATGGGAAGTGTGTTTACATTCTACATGTTAAATAGTAATACCATTGCTGCAACATATGCACCACATGAAAGGGCAATCATGTCTTGGCATTATTGCCAGAGTGGCAACCAAGACATACTATAATATTACTATTTTACAACATTGAGGAACAACATATAATCACCAGAATCTAGTATGCAATCGTTGCGTGTGTGAGGTATGGAAAATAAGGGTTGAAAGTTGCTTGAGCTAGCAGACAGTCAGTTGCTGGGGAAATGGAAAATAGGGTCAAAGATGAAACCAAACATAGTACTGATCTTAACGCAGTAACTTCTCTAATTAAGAGAGGTTATTTAAAAACATATGCAACATTTTACACTTCTATTTGTAACAGTAAGAATAGATGTTACCTAATGTTGGTGCTCGCAAGCCAGCAACTTCGTAGGGGCAACAACAAATAGTTTGGCGGGATAGAGTGGGTCGACACCTCCTTTGTTTTTAATGTCCAGCTTGGACATCCTACTACAAAACCTACAGCTTCGACTGCAGTGAAGTGAAATATAAAGCTACGTTTATTGATGAAGATAGTTGTAAAACCAAAAGGGATTGTTTTTATCCGGACATAACGTTATTTGGCTCGAGAGTATCGTTTGCAGCAACGTGTAGAAAACACGGCTATAAGTCTTGCACATTTCTCAAAGTCCATTTAGTAGATATCAATAGAGCATACGTTAATGAACACACACGTTGGAAATGACTTGTTTCAATAGGTAGATTTGTAGCTGGTGTTTGTCTACTGAACTTGTCATGACTGTTGCAAGTCAGACCGATGACGGCAGCGTTACAAAGCCCTGAAAAAAATGTCCCCTGAAATGTTGGTTAACTTGCCGTTCGCGTTTGCACAGGGTAAACAGCATTGCCACAAACCAGAGTATGCGTTGCTAACAGTTAGCTTGCTAGCCAAAACACGACCTTTCTTGGCACCGAACTGGCAAGCTCACAACAAGAATAGCTGGCTGGTTTGTTAATGTTAGCAAGCTAGCTGGTGTTAGCTAGCTAGCTAGCTTGGCCGAAACAAAACGGGTTCGGGCCTGTAATTTTGCCACGGTGTTTAGGCGCATATAATTGATGTGACATCGTGTTCTTATCCTTGCATGAACTCAAAGCGTTCTTCATTATCATAATGATTTGTGGAGGGGATTCGTGACAGAGGCTTTGCGATGAAAAAGACAACTGAAAGGGCTGAAAATGGGAAGTCAACACTTACCTAGCTTTACTTTCTACGCCATCTTGGATCCACTTGTCAGACCATCGCAAAGCATAGTGGGATGTACTGATCTGAAGGTTGAGAGGACTGGCGTGTGTGTGTGTGGCCTCTGGTGGCAGGGATATTCCTTTTCAAAATACTTTTGTCTAAAATGTTTTTGTTGTATTAATTTAAAAAACATATACTTTGTGTCATGGTTTATATTCACCTATTCCAATCCAATACATTTATGAAAAATATAGAATTTAAATATTAGGCCTACATTGTTGAATTCTTCATATTCATTATAGCTGGGGCCATAAAATACCACTTAATTTGTACCTGATGAACGGTTTATTTCTTTAAAAGGCCCGAATGTGTGTGAAATGTTGCACATAGGCTACCTATGGGGCCAAACATTGGTTTTGTTTCTGATTCAAAACATGCACAACAACTACACAGGATATTACTTATTGACTGCTGTTTTTATCCATCCAAAGATGATCAGGCTGACACTGTAGATATAGCTCCATGCAATTTAAAATAACTAAATATCCTAATAATATCTAACTTCATAGTAAGAGCAAAAGAAGAGAACATTAATCCTGGAACAAATGCTACAAGTACATCTTATTGTCAATGAAACAATGATAATTGATTAAGCATAATCATAGCCTGTAAGGCATGTGTATAGAAGTGTCCAAAACACTTAAGATGTAGGCTGCACGCTCAGTTAATAATTTCCAAAAAAATGTATAAAGCCAGAAAATAAATTGTAACAGAATTGGGAAAGAGTTGTCATACTACATATTTTTCTTGGTCAATATGTGCATTGTGTCTAGTTTAACGCTCATTAAGTGCCAAAACAAAGTTGTTATTATTTAGCGTTTTTTGGTTCTTACAAAGGTGTGCAATCACAGCTGTGAAAAGCAAATCATAAATCAAATTTGAGATTGTATGCATACAATGTCCATCGAGACAGTGGCTCTCATTTTGATGAGCATCTAGACTTAGACCAGTTATAGACACTGTAATAAAGGAAATTACACTGGGCGCTCCTTTATACCCAAGTTACTGGCATGGCTGAGCTACGATCCATTAAACCAAAATTACAAGGCAATAAACAAGTGTAGAATAGCTTAGCTGTGAACTTATTTATTGGTGCTCCACCTTTGTTTAAACTTGATGTTGATAGCAGGGGCATTTCTAAGTTGATGGAGAAAAAAGAAAGAGTACAACATCAGAATAAGGGGCAAAAGATTAATAGGTTGGATTATTTCACCAGTAAAGTATTTTGACTGTTGTCCAGTCATCAAATAGAGGACATTCGACTTAACTGAAAATGATTTTTTCAAAAAGACATGTTTACTTTGCCAAGTTTGACAATTACTTCACTTACATAACGGGACACTTCACATTGGTCAAATGCAGTGGTCGCATAGAAGTAGAAATCTTTTTTTCCCCCAATAAGAACCTACAAAAATCTTGACTGAACTTGACATCAATCTGGATTCACCATGCCAGGTGTCTTGAATAAAACTCTAAAAGGGAAAATTATGTACCCCTCTGGTCCAGGTCTCGTTTTATGACTTCACAGCATATAAACTAAGGGATAAACAACATATTGTCAAAAGTTTCACAATAATACTGCATTTGCGTTGTACTTTAACAAACCTTAATACAGCCGACACATGGGTGATGTCTTGCAGTGATGAGAACCTTGTCATATTATAATGTACACTAGTTTGGTTAAATACTGTATAAAACCTTCATACAACTGTTAACCAAATGTGAGGAGTTTATTGTTTACATTTTTAGAGTTTACAGCCATATTTATATCACACAGTAATACATTGTAATCTACTGCTTATAAAAGGCAAGTATATTTAGAGATCCAGTCACTGCCAGGGGATGTAAAGCGAGGTGCTCATGTATTTATTGTCAATGTTTTACTTGATAGTAAAAAAAATGAACAAAGTCGGGGTGCTGTGCATGTGCTACAGATGTTTATCCAATTATATGACATTGTAAAAGCGCTGCGATTACTGTCCCCCAATATACTTTATATTCAAAAAACATTCCCACAGAAGGAAAAGAAACAGAAACAAATATGAACCAAAACATAGAACAATGCACTACGTTGTTGTTTCACTGCAGGTTGTGGATCATCTCCTCCTTGGCAATAAGATGCGTGGTCTTGTTCACAAGGGACATGAGAGAGTTGAGTTTGTGCGACCAGTCGTTGAGCAGGTCGTTGGGGTCTTTGGGCCTCTGGAAGTTGATGATGCCTGCCAGCCGGTCCACCTTGGCATAGATGGTCTTGTTTACAACTAGGCTGGAGAGGAACTCTTCGGATTCCTGATGAAATATGAGAGCAGACGGACATCCTGTTAGTCTTTTGCAAAGAATGCAAACATTCTCAACCTGGACTCGTGTTTTTTTAATCTTTGAATTATCTGATCCATAACTGCACTACAACTATACAGGGTACTTCATTTTGAAATACTATGTCCCTCTATACACGTGTGTATAAATTCAATTGTGTCCCACTTTGAAGTTATTGTAAAGTTTTTTGTATATTTTTTTGCCTATTTTTATCTTTGGGTTGAATAAATTGTAGTTAGTGAAATTTCACACAAGGGAATAATAAATACTCTTTCAAAATGTTTCTTTGGTGAGAAAAAAATATATAGTTCATTTTTACCCAAAAGAAACCTACAAACTGCAAGTCCTTTTGAATGAAATGTCTCATTAGTCGAACTGTTGCTTACGTCAATAGAGAGGTCGAGGAGTCCAGCCATCCTTTTCATTGTGATTCTGGTGTAATATTTGGCCATTATTCTGATATTCTGTGGTAAAAAGGAGAATGACATTAATAAACATTTATGCAGCAGAATATCATATTATAGTTATATAATGATATTTTCTTTTAAAAAGGTCCCTTTAGGTCACATCAACACGCTAAATAATATATTAATGAATAAAAACATCCATTGCCAATCAAATACAGGTATGCTTTATTAGTGTACATAAAAGTCTACCAGTTAAGCTTTTATATGACACCCATTACCTTCCCCATTTGCTTGCATTGCACTTCAATGGCTCTCTATTCATTTTACCCCATATCATTTGATTCACAATCACTTAAATAATCAATCGAATTTTGAGTTTGAAAACCCCCAAACCCCATTATATGTAGGACATATAAAAAGAAAAAGAAAAAATTCATTTAATATCAATACCTTTAAACTTTGGAGGTTTTAATCAGACAGTTCTGACTGTCAGTGTTTAAATAAGAAGACATTCATATTCTCACTTTTCACCATAAATGCTCATCACTTACTCTCATCCTATCCCATTTATCCGAGCCAAACTCAAAGTGACAGTTTTATAACGTCTATTGCAGCTTTCATTGCCAATATTTGTCACGATAAGATGCTTCTATATGACCAATTTTAGTTTGAATGTTCCTGGCTTGACATCAAGGCAGTAAAGGAGCTCTTAGAAAATATATTGAATTAGATGTCTCCAAGCACCAACACATTATCATCAAAGGCCTACACTTGACTGGGGGACTTACATGCTCCACAACTCTGTTCTTCAGATCTTTCCACCGTTTCTCCCCCTCTTCTGAAGTAGAGAAGACGTCTGTGGCGGGGCTGTCAGATGAGCCCTCTCTCAGCTCCTTCCCATAATCCTCCACCAGGGCAGCCCAGCGCATCAGCTCCATCGTGGTGAACTGTTTCAGAAGGTCCCTGTGAATAGAGGAGGAAAATATTGAACATTCCCCCTGATTTTACCACCAGCTGTAGAGTGTATGCACATGATGGCCCTATATCAACTGTACTTAAACATCTAATAAGTTTTGTAAAACCCAAACACATTAACTGAACAGTTAGGCAACGGTTGTTGCTGTGTAGGACTGCACAATGATCGAAATGTATTGAAATCGCAATAT